CGTTATACACATTGAGGCCCTTCTTTTAGGTTAAAATGATCTATCTTAAATTTGTCTTTCTTGAGTTTGGGATTATTATGTGTTTAAATAACTTAAAAGTATAAAACTGAAAAAGCCCTAAAAAATGCGCGCCAAGCGTGCAAAATATTTTTGTGTTTTTAATTCTAATTTCGTCGGAATTGATGAAAACTCCCTAAAATGTGCAATTTGTAGAGGAAATTGGCCTACTGTAACAAGAAATGCATGCAAAGAATTTGAGAATTTTAGGCACTTTCAGAGGATGCATTTGTCAAGGGGTGGAGAAAGATTTTCCAAAGATGGATATTTCCCCCTTGTCCCCCGGTGTTTTTAGTTCTAATTTCGTTGGAATTGATCAAAACTCCCTAAAATATGCAATTTTTAGAGGAAATTTGGCCATGTTAACAAGAAATGCGCGCGAAATTTGAGGTTTTTAAGATTCAAGATTCTTTTATTGTCTGAAAAAACTCAGAAATTGCAATCACTGGCAAGGTAACAAGTATTAATATCATATAATAAATAAAGAAACAGTTACAAAAATATAGAAACTAATTAGCACCAAACAATATCTAGTCAAGATGAACATACAAAGAAAATTAAACACTATTACACATTAAACTTAAACTAAACTTAAACACATTAAACTTACTACTACTAATTAAAACTACAAATTATCTATTAATATTGTTATTATAAAGGTGAATGGAGTTGGGAACAAAGGAGTTTCTATAACGGCAACGTGTGGTGGGTGGTACATTTAGACGGAAACCTGAGTTGTTAAAAGTAAATTCATTATGTAGTGGATGAGTTGTGTCGTTCATTATTTTCTTAAGTTTAGCTAGTGTGTATTTTTCATAAATATAATCTAAATGTATAATGTCATCTTTAATAATTTTCTTAACAGTCTTTCTGATGGAGTCTAATTTCTTCATATTTTGTTTAGTCAGGTTTTTATATGTACAGATTAAGCAGTAAGTTAAAACACTCTGTATTATTACATTGTAAAACAAGATAAGAATGGTGAAAGGGCATTTATAATTGGGTGGTGAAGATTTTTCGAAGATAGATATTTCCCCTTTTCCCCCCAGTGGTTACGCCATCGGGCAGCATAGATCAAAGTAGTTATGACAGTTTTTTGAAGTGGACAAGGGGTTGCAGGGTGTTGTGAGTCTGGTCATTATATCTTCCTTTTTATTCTTGTCTTTATTTTTCTCTTCTCTTTTTCTTCTCTTCCCCCCCCCGCACCTGTTACGACACTGGCTAACACGCCAATCATCCCCCCAATTGAAAAATATTTTTCTACGCCACTGATTCCAGGCTTATTGAAACATATATTTGATCCTTTTAAATAATTGGACATTTAATTTATACTTGAATCTTTGAGAGTCTATTAGATTTTTATTACAGAGAGTATACATTTAATCAAATGTAAAACAAGTTAAAATTGAGTTATTCAAATTTGTTCTATGGGAAATAGAGCATTCTGGTTAATGAACACAACACACTGTCCTCTAGAGCCTGATTATTATTATGTTTTTATTATTGCTGCTGCTACTACTGCTACTATATTTATTATTACAGTAATATAATAATAATATTAATTTATAATACTATGAATTGTCAGTAACATTTTGTTAATTGTGTATTAATTTTGTATTAAATTTAAAAAAAAAATCTTTATTATAATCATGTTTTTTTCCTGTAGATTATTGCTGATATTAATTTCTATCATTGATCTGTATAATAATTATTGCTGAAAGAATACTATGACTTATCATTAGTCGTGTAATTAATACTATAAATATATTATTAATTTATTTTATATCATTTATTTATATCAGAACATAACCATTTATTTAATGTACTTTACGTTTCTTGCAGGTACGGCATTGTAGGCCCGCAGCAAAAGTGCTCAACGTGTGGCTTCCCCCTTCTCAGCAGAACCTTCTATCTGTTTCCATGCCAACACATGTTCCATAGTGATTGCCTTATTGCTGAGGTAAAGTAGAAAAATGCTACAGAATTTGTGCAGTTTAATATTAGAGGTTCAGGGCATGTGCTCTTGTTATAATGTATTGGTTACAACCATAATGAATATTCTAATTCTCTGTCTGCACTTCCAAGTGTTATGTGACGAATCTGTGAATCGCTCTCTGGTGGAGCTTCCAAGTCAACTCTTGCGATTTAGGACAAGGTTCATTCAAAAGCAATAAGGTTAATCAACGATCTAAAACGCACTCAATCTCTCCATTCCCTTGCTCATTGACGCCGTGTTGCAGATCTTTCCCTGTACTATCGGTATTTTTTAGGCAAATGTTCAAATGAACTGAAGGCCATTCTTCCCCCATATCATACTCCTGCTAGGCATATCAAATCTGCCCTCAAAATTCATATTTTTTTCAGTTTAAACTTTATCGTACTGTTTACCACTCATCCTCATTCATACCTGGCACCTCTTCTTTATGGAACCAACTACCTAGTTTTTGTTTCCTAAGCCTAAGGCATTCAGATATGCCACAAACAGACATAACCTTTCCTCTCTAATTTTTCCTTTGCTTGGAGCCTTTATAGACTAAGGTTCGCAATGCAAATCATTGCAATTCATTAACCATTCCATACATATTCTAAAAAAATATGGGCGTGAGGATGCCACATATCCATATATACTGTAGGCAGATCACATGTATTTATCACATTGGATTTGATAGTGTGAATAGACCTTGATGAAGTAGAGGTATTGTCCAACTTCCAACAGACTTAGAAAGACACATGGTTTGACGACGACAAGCTGGACCAACATGGAGGTTTTTTTTGCTTTATCAGCCTTAAGATCTGTCCAGACTATCAAATTTTATTTGAGAAAAACATGTGACATGCCTAAATATGGTCATGATGACATCACATCATGACCATATATAGTCACATCATGACCATGTATAGTCACATCATGACTATACTGTACTGTATATGGGCAAACGTCTTGACCTACAGCACCACTCAATTTTTTAGACACTACATTTAAAGTGAGATCAGTCAGATAACTGCAGACGTCATCGGCAACCAACTTAATACAAACTGTTTATTACATATGATCTATACAATAAACTAATTTATGTGAATGAACACAATTACTTGTTGAGAATACTGCACATGGAATATTAGACGTGACATACATAACATGTGCTCCATCATTATAAGCATGTCAGTTGCTTGATTGGCTGATTGATTGACCATTATGCATAATTAGTCGTCTGCTATTCTTCGAACCATGTATTTAATTATAGTCTCATTTGAATTAACTACATTTCCAACTCGTTGAGTGATAAATGTTTTATTCATAATTAAATGGTTAATTTATCAAACATAGATTAATTGATTTTTGCAGTTAGCTAAACTGATTGATTGATTGGTTAATTTATTTGATCAAGGTTGTTTATTAACCAATCAGAATTTATTTTAATTATTATTCATAAGTAACTAGTAAGAGGTATAAGACTTGTAAATATATTCAGGACCATATTTATATCATGTTTTCATTTCAAATTCAATTCATTACACTTACAAGTCATGCATCGTATAACAAAAATGAACGATCGAATGACACTATGGAAGAAAGCAGGGGTCAACGTCTTCTGCATACAGTATGAATATCGCCCTCATTTAAAAGATTAATGCTAAAAAGTGTGTCACATATTTCAGTAAAATATGTCTACTGATACAAAAGTCATGAACTATGTTTTAGATACAGAAAAGAAGAAATAACATTGTTTATCAAAAATGCACTATCTAATTTGAGATCACCAATGGGACCTGAAAATTTTGAGTCATCTTGAGGTTTGGTCCCCAATTCAAGGTAACCTTGGTGTTAAAAGATTGAAAAATGTTAGGTGGTACTGCGATCAAACTGTCTGCAACCCTCACCCTCCAGTAATGTTACATATTTCCATAAGCTTACATATCTAATTGGAAACCAAATCCTTGAGATGATCCCAAATTTTTATGTCCCCAATTTTGTCTCGAATTCAGTGGCAGACTTAAAGGGGTGCTGAGCCAGCCCCGGCTCTTCCCCCCCCCCCTCTTTTGGAAAGTTAAAAAAAGGGGAGAAAAAAAGGAAGGGAAAAGAAATATACGATCACCCAAAACGACTTAGAGGTTATTTTCTGGCATCTAGACAACAACAACTTCGCGCAGGTAAGCCCAGACCCCCTACAGTAGTGTTGTTTCGATCGGCCCACTTTCGGCCCCCCTCCCCCATCTGGCATCTCTGGATCTGCCCCTGGAATTAAAGATTTCACTATACTTATATTTGATAAACAATGATATTTCTTCTGTAATTAATATTTAATGTTTCATTCTTTTATTCTCCTGCACTTTACTCCATCTTATCCACAACTCAGCCTGGCTTCTCTATTTGCCTCATTCATTCGTTCAGGTACTACCAAATCTCAGTGAGAGTAAAAAACTAAAAGGACAAGAGCTACAGAGAAAGCTTGTCACCTTTGGCACACAGCCAACTACATCTTCCAGCAGCAACGCACTATCAGCAGGAACATCGACGCCGGATGTTGTCACAAGGCGAGACCTACATGATCAACTGCGTAATGAACTGGATGACATTATCGCGGCTGACTGTGTCAATTGCGGAGAGATCATGATCAGGTATATCATCTAATATATTTCTTTTCATGAAGACCGACATTTTAAACCTTGTTTTAGTGAACTTTATTTTTGACATCTTTCAGGGGAGCATGGAAAAGAAATAAATTTATGCATATTTTCTTATCTCATTTAGCAATATGGTTCTGGCAAATGTTAGGTAGAAAATGAAAGTAACATTTTTATGTCCAAGAATAAGTAAATGTATGTATGTAAGGTCATTCTTTGGCCTTCTGAAATGGTTGTAAAGAATAAAATGTTGCTAGGTAAACAGCTTTATACAGTATTTATTTATTTTGTGAAGCAGAAATTAAGATTTCTTATTTGGGTGAAATTATGAAATTTTGTATTTTCCCAATAATCTACGTCTGTTCATTTTACTTTGGTGTATTTATGTAACTATTACTAGAGACCAATGAGCCTTTTATTGTTTTTTCTGTTTATTTTTTCTAATGTGCAAAGATAGTTACAAAGTAAAAATACATTTATTGTCTACCTCCACATCTTTTTACATATACAGTAGAATATCATGTCATGTTATTATTATCTGAGAAAAAATATTAGTAGCTGGTTATCAAGTCATTCTTTATTAAAACAATAAAAAGAATGTAACATGAAACCCAGGTCATGGTTTTATCAGGCACATGCGGGGTATGAACAGCATAGATAAAAAATGAATGATTTAAAAAAAATTATTAATAACAGGTCTGTAGCCAGGTTCTTCCAAGGGGGGGTGAGGTCCACAGTGGAAGCCCCGGTGGGGTCGGCGAAATCCCCAAAGCAATAGGATTTTTGTGCTTTATGGGTCTAAATAATGCTATAAAAGCAGATATGTTTGGAAATGTCTGTGTCTGGGTGGATCTGTAGTGCATTAGTTGGGTTGGAAGAGTTACTTGGGAAATTTAAAGAGGGAGTTTTGCCAGAAAAGAGGGGGGATCGTTAGAAAAGGGGGGTACTCCTGAACAATAACCCTCCCCCCCCCTAAGATATGGGCCTGAATAAGGGCACAAATAAAAAAATAAAATTCATTACAGATATTGGCAAATCACCCACTCAGGCGAGTGTCAAGTATTCCAAACGGCATAGCTACTGGTCAATGCCAGCTTCACTATTTTTTTTTTTATATACATTATTATAAAGCATATAATCCATGTCATCCATGTTGCTTTGCAGTCTCACTCTACTAACACAACTCTTACTGACTACACATCACTCAATTTTATTTACTTTACATCAAAATTAGCTTCCATACATGATTAATAATAGATTCCAAATTTCCAACGTTTTTATAATGATTATATGCCGACTAAGTAATGAAAATCGTGGCATTCTTCTAATAATGAAACACACGGACAGTTGAATTTAGGTCAGCGTTGCTTTTTCATTCATTTTATCTCCATATAGATATAACAAAGTGGACAGATAAACAATAAATTTCAGCAGTGTTGAGAAAGAATCCACTGAAATGAACTTCTTGATTGCTAAAGTAGGTGTCAAAAAAATACTAGATCTAAAACAAAATCCTAAAGTATCATTAAAAGTATAAAATCACCAGAAATACAATGCATTAGCGTTCCAATTACATTTAGAATTGAGGTTATTCAATGTAAAACAGTTAACAGGAAAATTCAATTTAGTAGCATTCAAGAAGGATTAGTAAACATTTAACACTTAAAATGTCCAAATAAAATTGATAATTAAAAGGACTTAAACACATTACATTAATACCTAAATAATGTTATATGACATTTGTGATGGATCATGGTGATTAATACAAAAATTCTCTTCTATATAAACATCAATTGCCTTCAAATTTAATTCAAAGTTATTTTTTCAAGATTTAAGTTTGCAAAGTTATTTTATTATTATGCATTCCCTCCACCATTTTTTTTATCTACTGTGTGCTTAAGCTACTTGTTTCTATCAACTGAGACAAGCTTCCAGCATCTACAGAAAGATCCAAATGTATGGAATGTCTGTGCTTAAATACTGTGTATTATAATAATTTGAATAAATTGATAGAATGATTGATAGGTAGTTAACCTATATTATTAGTATTCATTCTCATCTTACAGCAGATCAACTTGAGAATTAATGGAATATATAAATATCCTGGGTGTTTTTTTACAAATTGCTACTCTATAAATTAAGTCTCATTATGAGGCAGTAAAAACAATTTGCATTTAGGCTTGAACAAAAATTCAAACATTATCCGGTATTCATGACCTAAATTTTAGAGAGTGAGTAAATAATCACCCACCTACAATTTCAGTAACACAGACATGTATTTTTAACTTGCTATATATTCCCATCCTATAATATTGTAGTGTTATTGAGTTTGTAAAGCTGGTGAAAATGCGGTGAGCTGTTATAGCCAACTAGTTGATATAAGTAATATACTGTATATTCAATTTAGAAATATTGATGATTGCATTACTTGTACTATAAATGATAATAAAGCAGTGAGTGTATTTGCATAGCACCAGTATCCATCAAACAATATGCTCATAGCACTTGATGTGTGGACTAGTAGATTGTTCAGTGACTTTCATCACCCCTACGGGTCCATTTGTGTCTATGCCACCTGGGAAACTGGTACCAGCAAACTCTGGTCGTCCACCACAGGGGCTGTCTGTACCAGGATACTGGGATGTCCCCCTACTCGTCTCAGATGATGTACTAAGTTCTGTGTAGCGCACAAGCTATTGTGTACACTGGGCCTATGTTTTATACTCCTTATCCGAGAAGACATGTTCTACCACCAGAACCGTAGACGAGCCTGCTGCTCGAACCAGCACCAATATTATGGCTGTAGGTTGCGGCACCCCTGCCTTAACCGCTCAGCCAATCAACTTGTCAATATGATCATAAAATAAGGATGATGACTTTGATTATAGTAAATCTATGATTGTATAAAGTGATTTTGTTTGTAACCATCTCCAACAAGTCTTAATTGTATGAGGTTTTTGTAATATGACAACAAAATATATCATTGCATAATATATACATATATATTAATAGGGAGTTGCATACTGTAGAATTTTAATGGTAGGACTTGGTACTGAGTTTTCATATCTAGTTGAAAGATCAAAATAGGAACAGGACAATGAAAAAGGCTAAACCACAACAAAAACCTTTTGTTATAAGTCAGAATGTGGTGTAGAAGGGGAATAACCCATAATGTACAGTAACATACTTCTAAGGGAATGTACTGTATCAAAATGCTAAATTGACTTTATTTTTATGAAGATGTTTTCTTCTTTCTCTTGACAGATCAATTGATAAACCGTTTATTGAAGCAGACGAATATGAGAGTGCTGTTAGCAGTTGGCTATGAGAGGATTGCGATCACGGACAAACAACAAATCAACGTGGACATGTCCAGCGATTGCCCAGGGTACATTCTAAAGCCAAGTGGATGCAAATTATCTTGTAATAATTGCAACACACTGTATTGCTGTAAGGTGTATTTGTTAGTGCGTCACTATCATGAATTTATTTCATAGTTAAAGTATATTCTAAAAGATATATGATTATATTAATAATAATCATGATGATGGTGATTATAAATCACTGCTCTAGTTTTCTATTATTTTCTATTTTTGTCTAGTCAAAACTGGTGCATTTTAAATGTTTTTATATTATTATTGTGATTATGACAATAATAATAATGTGATTGTTATTCTTTGTATCATCAGTTGATGAAGATATTTATGATAATAATGAGTATAATTATACTTATTATCCTCATCATAATGATAGTGATAATGATAGTACTACTTAATCATTATAATTATAATATATAATTATAATGATAAGTCTCTGTTGTTATGTATACTATACACCTTTTATCTTTTGTGTACAGTTGACACAATATAAATATTTGTTATTATTATTGCTAATAATAAGTGATTGATAAAGCACCAATTAAGAAGCACATTAAAGTACCAATATGCTTCATTGCATATTTAGTAGTTGGACAGCTTCTGCTATTAGGTGTATCTAGTGTAATTTGTTGCTACTACAGTCAGTATGTTTGTATTTGCACCATCTACAGAAATAGCATGAATGTGCGGGCTTGTGACACAAACACTTGTGACAGCCTTTTTAATTAAGTGATTGTCAGTCAGTAATAGTTAACAAATTCCTAGACTGGTGCCGACATGTTGGTTCGATCAAGTTTTCATTTCCCATATTCTCATTAAACTATTTCTCATTCTTTAAAACATTAAAAAAGTTGTCCAATTTGTATATTGCAAGATTCTGTTTTTCTGTCTTGGAAATTTAAAAGCTGCGATGATGTTCTCATCTGTCACTGATCTGAATGATAGAATGCTTTTATTCAAATTACTTGATATGGCAAGCTGTATTGGTACAGTGTGCAAGTATTAAAGGAGTTTCCCTACCTCCTAGGCCTGGGGCACCAAGTTATAGAAGTTTTTTAAGGGGTTTCCCTACCCTCTTAGGCAGGGTTCCCCGATTTATGGAAGTTTTTATTGTTGGAGGATAGTTTTATGTTGTATAAATTTAACCAACTTAAGTCTGAGCAACAGTTGACTCCAGCTGATGTTTCAGTCAAAGCATAACAGGGGCAATTTAAAATTTAATGTTTATTACCATAATTAAAATATATGTATATTGTATAATTATAAATGGATCTGTCTAGAGTGTCAATCAAGCTTCTGATTGGTCAATTAAGCTTGAGTGACACTCTAATCAGAACAGTGCTAAAATACACACATGTCCCACAAGCGCATGCGTGTAAGAACACTATACGCTGTTGTTTTGTGGAACCGTAGCAATATCCAAAGGGTGGGCTTTGCGGAGTAGTTCATTAGCACATGCTAGATTTAGCCGTGAAACAGTAATAGTCTGATGTGCTATTGATTAATCGCAACCACTTAAATGTATTGCGTCACTCTGTAGTAGCCATTCGATAGATTGACCATTGGTGAAAGGTGTAATTACAGCTGAATGTTCGCTATGTAAAATTAATGTTATGACGCAAGTGGAACAAAGAGGTATAAGTTGAATTGAACCTTTGACCTTTGAACTACTATTTCAACACTGCCATCTGAGCTAAACGACCCTAATTGCCAATGGCTGTTCGCAGCTCAGTACTTTCCTAGCTCAAGGGGCTGAAAAAGAACCTCACCATATCTGCTTTGAAATGTCAAGGATAGTCCCATGCCTAAACCTGACAACACAGCAGCAGCGAAGATTATTAAAAATGATGATGCAGTGTTTGAATTGACGTATGATGCTATAAGATATGTAATGAACATAGTGTAGGGCTATGTCATTTACTATATATAAATGACATAGCTTTTACATATAAATAAAAAGGGAATAAATATAAAGGTATCCTGTCTTAAGCTAACAAACTTGAAGAATATAATTCAATATATAAAATTGATTATATTTCACATTTGAGGCAGTGCCGTCCTAAAACCAGTGTACTGTCGCTAAATGCGAGTAATTAGCATAAGAATATTGCAGTATTGTATACTTTAGTACATAAAAGCCATAATACTTTTACTCATAACTTTGGCAATAGTAAGTCAACTCCAGTAATGACACATCATTTTAAGCTTAGAATGTGGAGAATATCAATATATTTAAGTAGTCCATTTTCTAGTTTTGGTTGTTGATGGTGGTTTTGGCATGGCAAGCCTCATTTATATAATTTGCACTCAATTAAAAATTATAAAAAAATAAGTAGTCATCGCCAAAACAGGCACATATGTGATGCCGTTCTGCTGGTCTTTGCATAGACCCTTGTTGGCTGGTAATCAATTTAAAAGGGTTTTCTAGTAATACGTCTGTAATTGTTTGATTTTATTGATCATTTTATTAGACAAAAGAAAGGAGAGGAGAAAGGGGGAATATGGTACTCCAAACAACCAGATTTTCAAATTAAAGCCAATATTTAAAAATCAAAAACTGGGGGAGAAGTGGAAAAAGGGTGGTTATGCCCCTTTTTACCCCAGTTTTTATTTTAAAAATCTGTATCTCATGAAATGTTCACGAGTTCGTTCATCAAAAACCCTTTTGATCTTAATAGAAAAATCAGTTGTACAGTGTCTAAAATGTGTTTTTCTTCCAGAATCTGGCTCTAAATTCAATTGTCTATAGTCAAGCATTTCTAATAAATAATCACAACCACCCCCTCTGCTCAGTGATTCACACGTCGCTAGCCCCTACCCAAATTTTTCTGTCTTAGCTTGAATTTAATTGGATGGTGCACCTAATGAAATGTGAAGTTACATCCTTCATTCACATTCAACAGTGATTGAACTTTGCAATTACAGAATGGTAATGACAATTTATGTTCATCAGTGCCTCATCATTGGAGTTGTTTTTACTTATGTTAAACAGACACTATGCTTTGTATGTAAGAATTGAACTCACAACTGTAGAATTTTAAGCTAGGCTCTTTAACAGTAAACCATTTTTCTTAGTAAACTGCAGATTAATTTGAAGTCATTTATTTTGTAATTAGAAATTTGCAACTCAAAAATATCTGAGATACAATATATCACAAGGATTATTAATATATATTATATAAATGCATTATATTATTCCTATCATTCTCCTTTCTTAGTAAACTGCAGATTAATTTGAAGTCATTTATTTTGTAATTAGAAATTTGCAACTCAAAATATCTGAGATACAATATATCACAAGGGTTATTAAAATATATTATATAAATGCATTATTTGTGGTAATATTATTATTTTGTAGTATTAACATTTGTTTATAATATCAACACATCATTTATTTACCCTGTATAGCCATTAATATTGATCCATTGTGCATAACTTGGCTTTTTCAAGTGTGAATTTAGAAATGATCTTCACCATCATTCTCCTATCCAGAGACCTTTAAAAGTCTATCATACCAAGGAACATATACACTGTGGAATACTCGTAATGGCATTATACGAAATACTAATAACCTATAAGATAAACTGTCTGCCATAAAATCCGGAAAAAACTCAAAAAGTCAGATATAAATTTATTTGCTCGTTTAAATAAGTTCACTTTCGAACGAGACACAGATTAAAATGATTTATAGATTTTTTACCACAAATATCCTTATTGATTACCAGGGAATTTAAGGGCCTATTTAAAGATTATAGGAATGATAGTATTTATGTGTTCTAATTGGAAAGGATTTTGTCAATCTAATTTTCAGTAAAAAACTAAGTTAAACATGCAAAGTAAGCCATTCCAGTATTGAATTTAATTATTTTTTAATTCTTTTCAATGTAACACATTACATTAGTTGTACTTCAACTTCCAAATTCTTTTTCTTTTTTATGTCGCTGTTAATTGATCAATTGACTCATGTGTGCGCAAAATCTTAATATCTTAAAACGTACTGCATATTTATGTGCGAACAATAATATGTCATTCTTATATAGCGCTTCATGCACAAAGCCTCTTAGCGCTTCACATTACTACCCCGTCATTGGATCAAACACATACTCGACACCAAATTAAATTATTAAATTAAATTATATTATTATTCCATAATATTGCAGCTTGTAATCAGCGCAGTTGTGTTGGAACCTACCAGGTACCCACTTGTACTCCTAGGTGGAGAGAGGCAACCGTAGATAAAGTGCCTTGCCCAAGGACACAAGCCATTTGCACAGCGAGAGTTTCGAACCCCCGACCTTGAGGTTGGGAGTCCAAGCTGAGGTCGCCAACTGCTTCTATATGGTTTTACTTCAGTAATTACCCTTTGTCTTTGCTAATATTGATCTACTTTTGGATGAGAATAAAGTAAATACAGTATAGCAAAATTATAAACTAAATTATAGAAGCATATCTGTTAATGGTGGTTAATAATAATATTTCTTCTCACCCTCATTATTTTGTTAACATTTTTTTTTAAATTGCTGATAACCACTATTAATATCTTACCACTGTTTAATGCAATAAGATGCTTCACAAATCCTGGGTGAATTTCATTGACCTTTTTGCTTCAACTGTTTATTTGAAATGACGCTTTATAATAATGTTCTTACGGTTCATGTAGTCATATCAAAGCTCACTCCATCACCCTGACTTCTTTAGCCACAAGTACAGTAGTATGTCAAGTAATAATAATAATCATACACTGTAATTCTACAGTACATAAATCATAATTCAATTTATTCACTATCAAATTCAGTCATTCAGTGTGAATATTCATTAAATTTTATAGCAAAGAAGTCATAATCGGGGTGTAACTTTTATTGTAGTGTAAATATTAAGTGCAAGGCTGCCACATATTTTAACTGGTACGCATAGTACAAAATTTTAAAGAATGAACAAGAACCACAAATGAAGCTGACACAGAATTTTTATTACACATGAATCATAATTGCAAGAAGAACATATCGGAGGATATATTAATAGATTTTGCTGCCACAATCTGTGGCACTTGATACAATTTGTGGCATAATAACTTATTTGTATGCTACATCACTAGAATTTGTAGTACAGTATTTAGCTACACAAGCTTCCAACACAATCTGTTCAGACAGACATACTGAAAGAAATTTGTAACACTACAATATGTGGCATACAGCTACAATTAGCTACCAACACAATCTGTAGCATACTCAAACATTTGTATGCTACATACCAATATAACCTAAGGTGTCACTTTCCAATATACACATGCTACATTACAGTTTGTACCAAATATCTTCTGACACAATTTGTGGCATACCAAAACAGATTTGTATGTTACTGCTACAATATGACATTCATACAAATATGTATTATAAATCCTTAACCCCTGTATCTTTCAAACCCTGGCAACTTCAACCCAACCCCTCCCTGCACCATATTTTTTGCAAAGTAATGTCAACATGGAATGCTGAGGTAAAATTAATAATTTTAAATCGCTAGTTTATCGATTTATTTAAAAGTTATCTCATAAAATATCAACTATAAAAAGAATTTGAACTTTGAGCAATAAAACTTTTCCACTAAAAGATGCATTCAGTTTTTAAATAATACATTAAAACACAACAATAATAATAAATATGTTTTTTTTTTATTTGCTTAGAATTTTGAAAAAGGGTTAAAATTTAAATAACACGAGACATAATAATAATAATACTGTTATTCTATTGCTAACATGCAGTAGCATCAGGTAAATATAGTAAGATGTGAGGGATTGGTCAAATTGGACATTTACAGTGAAGGACAAGAAGTGTATGGTTCGATCATGCTGTACTCTGTCACAGAATTAGACTGTCTCTTATACACATCTAGATGTGTATAAGAGACAGTCATTATGTATATATTATTTGAATAATCTTAGCCAATTCATCATATGTATGAATGTTAATATATAGAACTCATTAATATGCAAAGTGATTATAGTGATATCATGAATATTCAAAATATAGCTAAATAATAAGCATAGCTGGCAATAAATATGAATACAGTGAAACATGAATATTCAATATTAAGCTTATTTATATGCATACCTGGCTATTAATCAAGAATTCCTGTTGTATACTTAATAAAGTGGCAGAAAATCTGCTAATAATACTGCAACTGTTTGAATTTAAACATAATATTTATTCAACAGGAATACCAAACAAGGGAATTCTGTAAAACCCTTGTATGGTGAGGAAAGAAAAATGAATGTAATATATATTGCTTGTATTTACTAGGTCTCATTAAGACAACTATTACATGACAGAGTTATTTATGTTTCACGATGAACACTACATAATTTGTTTGAAATCGAAGCAGTAGTGAGAAGAGACAAAATGGAGAACAAGAAAAGTAGGACACACAAGGAACATTGTCAGTTATTGATGTACTCGAATGAACCACACCAAACATGGGACGATCACTTCACAAAAAACAGGTCGAAATAAATTTTTTTAAAAGGATATACAAGTTTTATATATCAAGTATCAAGTATTCTTCTGACAATTAAAATTCAACTTCTTTAAAAGATTAAAACAATAAACATAAAAGTTTTTTGACATTTTTTTATATTGTACCTTTAATTGTTCATCTCAACAAAATGAGATAAAAATGCAAACAAAACTTTCTAGCTAACACTTATTACACGCTCATACATACAATTTATTTTATAATATATACCTACGCGTACTTATAAAAAAGATGGAATGGTTTCAAAGAAAAAATTTATTACAACAAACCCTGATATCAGGGTATATTTTTCTTCTTACTCTTTATAGTATTGCAATCGTTTCCCACAACATATCAACCATCAACTCTCAAAATCCAATCAGATGCCGACACAAATTCCGTCAATCCGCCTCGACGTCTATTCCTCCTGATCTGACATACTGAATTACATATAATACTGGTTTACAAAGGAAGGCAAGATAGATATTTAGTATTGAAAATACAAAACACTATACTTTAACTTGGAAAAAAAAAATTGTAGCATTACAACATTACGTTCACTATGCATACAACTTCAAACATACAAAAGCATCCACAAACATTATTTTGATTTTTTTTTTTTCTGAATATCCACACATCTATAGTATTATTTCTATATGTTTTATAGATATCATAATTAACAATTATTAATGTTTTGACTGAGCGATGGCATACAAATACAAACACCATATATACAACACACACTGATTACACAATATTTAGCATGCAAAAGCAGGCTAATTTTCTGGACCACATTTCAGAAATATGACTTATCAAACTACTTAACTACTTAATTTTCTTATCATTATTAAGTTTCAAATTGGTATGAAATACTAGCAGGACAGTATCTGACAGATTTGTACTCCACTACAACTTTAGCACTCTGTAGTTAAGAAATTTTCATTGCAATAGTAAGGAACTAATCAAAGGGTAAAACAATACATGTAAGGTATTCAATATTTATAAAGACATCGTAATCTACAATTTTTATAGACTATATAGTAGCTTTACAGAACTCTTAATATATGAGATATTTTTAGATTAACATTCTAATGAATGTTACTAACAGCATATATATAGTTTTTTTTATGATATATATGGTCAAAGGTATATTCATTAACAAGAGCACCGAAGTTCATATAAGCAACATCAATATCAGAATACAGAGATAAATAGATAGACATAGACAGCAAACGCTAACGTGATACAACGTACACAGCTTACGTATTATGCAATCATGCTCAGTCATGCACTGGAGTATGTCAAAGGTCGCTGAAGACATTAAAATGGTTGCATGATATTGCCAGAATTGAAAGATTAAAAGAGAAAATTACGATTGAGGAAAATTACATTTAAGTTAAATTATGTTATGGTTTTGCTTCAATAATGTTTGAAATAGATCAGAATTGTGCTTTCAAGTTTGTGTGAAAATAGAATATTATAAATGAAGGAGTTACACATTTAATTTTTTTTTATTGTATGTTCCATTATCATACTTTTAAGTACAGTAAAATTACCTGGCAAAATTCAATTTAAATTTTGTTGACTTATTTTTAATGAAGTCATGATGGAATACCGGAATGCAATGTAGATAAATATCCTATATATGGATAGTTATTATAATTTTAGCGAAATATTCATATAACCTGGCAATCCTATTTAGTCTTCAGTCTTGGATCTATCACATCAAATAATTCAAAAGTACCATATCATATATAAGAGTATGGTTCAAAGGAGCTTTATTAGTTCAAGGAGTCTTTTTTCAACACCTAATGGGGAATTTACACATTATTATTGCTAGTTGACTAGAACGATAGTTCACATAACATTTTAAAATCATTTATAATCAACATTTCAAATTGGCAAAGTACTGATTAGAATTGCTTTTTTACACATACAATTAATTTTACACCATTTTCTCTTTCTTTCTAACTTTTTACCAACAAATAGCAGACACCATTAAATATAGCAATCAAGAGAATTTTCATTTGAAACTACATAGACTTTTTTATATATGCTTTTGAACATGATTCACTCTAAAATTCTCAATAAAACCAGAGAGAACGGCTTATTGGTTGTAAAACTCTTTACATAATATTACAGTACATATGTCTAAAATAGAAGTGCATGCTTTAAATATGATTTGATTATTTTTTGGGAGGGGGGGGGTGTATTTTTTTTCAATTTGGCAATAAAAAAAATACAATTGTGTTTTTTGGCAAGTTAAAAATTCTTTAAAATGTAATAAACGTTTGGATATTTACAAGGAATTCTGGTTAAACAACGGTGTATGTACTAATTTAAGACCAGCTTAAATATTATTCTAATATACATATATGCTTATGGGTGGAAATTTGCTTAAAGGGGGTTACAAGGTGAAATATATACTTATGTGGGGCACAAGATCCTTATTAACACTATGTTGAATTTTGATAATACAGTTATATTTTCACTCCTGAAGTACTTGTGGAAATTTTTACTATTATGGTCCATCAATATGTGATTATCATGAGCAAAGATACTGTAATTTATTGAGTTGGGTAATTCTAGAATTATCAGATTCAGGGCTGAGATTTGCACAATATTTGAAAACAGTCCTATAATAGTAATTATTATTATTTTCAATAAGTCTATAAGACTTATGTATATCCGTTGATTGCATTTCTTTGTCCAGTTTACTTAATTTTGTAAACTTATATAACAAAATATTTATAACATAATTAGATATATAAATAATAAATATGGCATAAATAATGCTTAATGACAACAAAGATTTAAGGCAATTTAAATAAAAAGCACTTGTGACAATTGAAATATATGTTTAAACATAAACATTTTTAACTTGCAGCTCATCATCTATCATTTATCACTCTTAATTGGTGGTATCTCGTTCATTCGCACCATATCAACACACACTATACCTCACATGGAGAAAGCATTAGGTACAATCAACCTCACTGCCATCAGAGAAGAGGAAAATACTATCTATAGCTTGCACAGCATACAAGACGATCAGTGTATCATTAACATCACACATGAGGACAAAAGCAGGTATGCCACTCCAACATTACACAAGAGGATGAAAGGTAGTATGCCACACAACATCACACAAGAGGATGGCAGCAAACATGCTACATTGACATGAGACAAGACAATGACTGCAGATATGCTGCCCTGACATCAGGCAAGAAGATGGCAGCTGGTATGCCACTCTGGCATTACACAAGATGATGGCAGAGAGTATGCCATTCAACATCACATAAGAGGATGGTATGCAGTAGTCTTCTCCGGCACCTTAGACTACAACAGAAGGAACAAATCTACATTATTACACATAGAGAAATGGGAATAATGGTTTCCAACCACATCCATCAGTAACAGCATTGCCTCTCCAGTATTATGTGAATCTCAAATGATCCCTTGACAATAAAATGCACCAGTTCAAATCACCATTAAAAAGACATAATTACAGATACATAACATAAACAAGTGGATGCTAAAAGGAATAACATTCCAAAATCATTTAGAATTTCAACAAGTATGCATATCCTACATGGTAGAGGAGGATAAACAGACACATCACACCGACATCACAAAGAGGATGGCAGCAGGCATGCCTCTGCAACACAAAACAATAGAACAGTAGTAGTTCTTCCTCTTCACTACCAAATGGCAGCAGAACAAGTGATCCTCAACTTCAAAAGTGGATGGTAGCCGGGCAGGAATGCCTCTTCATCATCTTAGCATTTTGTGTCAGTGCAGCAGAATCGAAACAGCAACACTAATCATGATGTCTATCTTGGCATGATACAGTATATGTTCACTCTTTTAAATTACAAATGATCAGATCTTATCTAGTTGTGCATGATATTGAAGCAATATTATACAGTATATACACACCACACACCTCTTGGTAACAAACCAATGGGCTGGTATTATTGGCCAAGGCTGTATGCTATTCACGTGCCTTTCTTTGCTGCATGTATTCCGCACAAAGGCTAGTTGCATTTGGCCAACTTACTGTTATTACCTCTGAGAAACCAGAGGATCGATGCATTGCACTCATCCCACGGAAATACTGGGATTCATTTTTTTAAAGATGGCTTAGAATAAAACTCATTCACTTAAGGCTTGGTTAAAACATTCAGCAATTCATTAACATGTTCAAAAGTTTACTGTATACCTTTCTGTTTAGGATAATATTGTATATTTAAGTGAAAGTTGGATCTTAAATTCATAACATTTCAACCTGTTCTGGTAAATTCAACCCGATACAGTGAAACAATTATGGTACATACCATCACTCTATTTAGTCCTGTACTGTAAAGTTAGCAAACAGGCTTGAGTCTGAGCGGAAGGAGCCTTTGGCAAGTAACCCTAGACCAGCAAACCACTCTCGCACTGAAAACTTGAAAGCAGATTACAAGGCTTGAATCCTCATCCTAGCTCACATAGACTTGTCTTCTACATCACAAATCATTGTCTGCCAACTTGGTTTTTTCTCTATTTTTATCATTCTTAGAACTTTGATTTTGAGACTAATGTAGTCTACTGTATAGGTGGCTATATGGAGAGGTAACATCTTGGAAAATCTGGTATTAGCAATATACCTTTCTTGTTCTTCTTCCTTTTATTCTTTTCTGTTCTTCATGTTTGAGGTTTACAGCTGACGTACCTCTTCATCTGTATCTTTCTTCATAACATAACATTTTTCAAGGGAACTGCGATGTTGAATCTTAAAAATCATATAAAATTAAACTACTTTCAAAGAAAATTTAGCAATATAAGTTTACAAAAGGGGGCGTAAACTTAAGAGCTAAACTGGAACTTAAAATGCTTTTCGTCAAATGGTTTCTCTAGCCAATGTCCGTAGCCACCTTCAACGAAGCATTCATTTAGATGTTGTTTAGCGATTTGAAAATCTGTTGCCAAATGTTTAGCTTCTAAATACCATTGTGTTTCTAAAAGGTCGTTTCGATTAAAACAGGCACATGTTTTGCGAAACTCATTGAAGAGTTCTGCCTTACATAGCACCGATCGCACCTTTTCATCAGTACATCTGAAAGAGAAGAAAAAATAGAATAATGAAATTCAGACCTAAACTATTTTTTGATGAAGAAAGTAAGAAAGTAAATTGATGCTCTCATAAGTCTTCATTACAAGTGTGGCGCACCAGAATGGCATTGTCTTCAATTGGTATTTTGAACAAATTACTTTTGTGTATTACTTATATGTGTCATAATTATTATAACGCATTAAGAAATTATCAACTGACAACCTCCGGTCCAAGGTGTGAAGATTGGGAGTGTTCCCATGATTTCACATTTGGTTTGAGGTTCAGTGGCTACAGTGAGCAGAAGCCAGGGAAGTGGTACAGTAACGCACAGTAAACTACTTGTGTCTCAAGGCATCCTGGTAGCCTACGATTCAGGATGACACTTTAAAAGTACTAATATGACTGACTGACCTTCCCTTTGTACCATCCGTGACCTCAGCTTTTTGACATCCGGCGAACCAGTTAATACTGTATTGTTTTGTTTTCTCGGTGGTTCTTTGAGTTTCAATCTTAGTCACATGGCCAAGGAGTGGATGGCTGACCTGGTAGTTAGGTGGCAAAGATGTCGTCAAGTTCTTTGTTTCGTGAACATGTTGTAAGCGGCAACAAACTGCCCTTGACAAATGCCCATGATGGTAGAGTGTACCTGGTAAAAAATTATGATGATTAATAAAACTATCCGAAAAACAGTCCATAAATAAAACAAAATAATAATGGAGCACAAAAAAACCTATATAATGTTAAATTAACAAAAATTATTGTGTAATTTATATCTGTGTTCCATGCTTGATCCAGCAATGTATAGAAATAAATAACGTTTAAGAGTTATCACTAATACACATTTCCCAATTGTCCCATGACCATGCGAACAAGCACAACTTGATGACAAGTGGAAAACTGCCACTTGATAGCTGACGAAGGTGTCGCGATGACGTCGAAAGCTCCTCAACAACTCAAACCTGACAAGTAACTTAATCCTATTTTAAATTAACATTGTAAGTTTCTTGCTGTTATTCTACATCAACATGGATAATATGTTTTCATGTTTGTTAACATTGAAATGTCAAAAAAAGTTTGCAAAATTTAAAAATTACTTCATACTCAAAATATTCACCTCTAATACACCATCATACCCAACAGTGTAAAATTACATTACAATATCATGGCTAAAAATCCAAAAACCATCTCATTCAGAAAAGAATCTAGAGGTTTGAAGTGCAAAATAAAGAACTAGAAAACAATCTCAAATTACACAGAAGTATCACATATTTTATACATTTTTGTTTTTACCGGCGTATCCTAGAAGGTTGGCTAACATTCAGGGACCTCTCTAGTACTGAAACAATGTAAAATAAGATAAGACAAGGGAAATTCTTCTGCTCGTCATCACATATTATATTACAAAATGTAAAACAAATATAAAAAAAACATAAAAACAGTCACTATAGAAAATATAACAATTTACAAGAAAAATACAATGACTACCATCGATAAAATAATTGAATTACAATTATGATTATTTTTATTATTCTTATCTTATTATTATTATATTATTACTATTATTATTATTATTATTATCATTATCGTAATTAATACAGTTAAAATTATAATTAATATTATTATAAAAAAAAACAAAAAAACAATGAAATGAATTATCTTCTAAACCTCTTGTTGAACTGGGTGATGCCGGAGGAGATAAATGACTTCGCATAATAGTTTGTTTTTGCTCTGAGGATAGCCTCATTCTACTACTTGGATTAAGTTGGTTAATAATAGCATGTATTATGTAAGTCTCATTACAAGGCTTAAGGAGTGGAGATATGTTTTTAGTTGTGAGGAAAATCCTGCACTATCACAGGTTTTGAATCCAGGACCCTGGGATTGGAGGCAAGCACCACCAGGACTACCAGGCTATATCTTCAATACTGATAATCAATGAATGTGTCAAAGACAAGCCAAACCAGTCATTCGTCGCAAATCGTGTTTCAGAGATAATGGCAAAAACATGCTGGAATGTCAACATTTTTGAAATCTATTTTATTGCACCTGTCTCTTATACACATCTAGATGTGTATAAGAGACAGGTGTGGCGAATGGTAAAACAAACTTTTTTGAGAATTTGGTGATGATTTCTGCCTGAGAAATGCCACAACCATTAAATTTGAAGGCTGATTTTCAACGCTTGCAACTTCATAATTAAATGTCGGAATGATTCTTTTATCATTTTATAGCTCTCATTTTACTGTTTAACCGTGCAATATCTAAAAATCTATTTTTTCGACTAGTGACTGGTTTGGCTTGTCTTTGCCACAAATGGGTCCAGGCATTGGAAGATAACTATCTAAGCAATAAAATCAGTATAATACAAAGAATCCTTACCAAGAGTGAGAGAACTCATGTATATTGGTTCAAGAAAATGGCTCAAGAGTGCTCCCTGTAGTCCAAGAACATTCCACCTCGCAATTTTGTCGCTACACGACATAGTACGTAGTCGCTCTCCTCGATTGATTCCATCCCATGTCTGCATATGTTCTCCTTCTATCGGATTTGTTCCTTCACCTATTTAGATAAAATTAATGAAGTGAATTATAATTACACAATGGTGTACTGTATCTACAAGCACCCCATTGCAACACCCTTATTAGAAACTTGCATATTAAAGAAATCACACTCCAGTAGTCAAAATCACCTTAAATTCACTTTACTATACCCCATTATTTAATCAATGATCCCACACTTAACCTTCATGCCAGCCCTCCAGCAAACCCCCCTCTCCACCTGTCAACAGTCCTAGATATGCCCCTGCAATTAGGTTAAAATGTCTTTTTTTAATAAAGGGATTGCAAATTAAAAATACAAGGGAAGAATATGAATGGAAAAATTATATATTGAAATGTTAGTTATGTCCTTAGGCAAGATGCCTTTCTCTACCCAGCAGTGACAACCTGGTTGGCTTGAATACAAATATGATGATTACTACTGGAGCTGCAACATTATGGATTTGTTGAGAGAGCAGCTTAGCTCTGTCGGCTAATCTGGTGGTAGCCACTTTTTGTGCACTGAATTGTGGGGATCTCTAGGTCAACGGTTCTATTCCCATCGCTGCCACTCCTTGTGTACAGCTGGAGGGCTAAAATACAAGTTACAATAGTGCACTATCTTTAGATGAGACGTTTTAAAGCCGTTAGTCCTGTGTGCATTTATGGCCCATGTGCACGTTAAAGAACGCAGTATCCTCTTCGAAAAATAGTAGGGGATTGTCTCCTGGTGTACTGCCCAATCACCACCAAAAGGACCCCACTGGAAATAAGTCTTCTTCCAGACTTTGTGGGCTGTCTTTGGTGTTTACACTGAATATATCCAATCCAACTGTTTCTTTATTTAAGATACAATAATTAAACTGAATTACAATAAAGCTAGAATGTGTTTCTTTTAACCAAAAGAATGTTGAAGAATAATAATTCTAACACTAATATATTGGAAGAATATGGATGGAGAAATTAGACCATTTAAATGTTAATTGTGTCCTTTATATCTCTCTACCCAGAAACAGGTGGATCCCTTGTGGGAATGAATGCTATTTACTTGCTGCAACGTTATAAAATAGTCCCCTAGAGACCCGAGTGTGTGTTGCAAGGTTTGTTCAAATGACTGGGGTAATGACTTAAACTGAGTGTTGGCATTATTCGCTGTAAAAAACCTAAAATATTCTGATAAAAGCACATAAAGAATTTTATATATATTTTTATTGCAGTGTTTGTGCTACATTTTTATTTCTTTATTATGTTTTATTTCTTCATTTAATTCTATGAGTTCTAGAAGTTCTCAATTTAATTTGTTATTCATTTATTTATTTATTTACTCAGACCTACTTATTTCCATTTAGGTTTTATTTCTATATTTTCTTCATTTAATTACATTAAATGTCTCAATTTAATTTGTTATTCATTTATTTACTCAGACCTACTTATTTACATTTATTTTTTATTTTTATATTTTCTTCATTTAATTCCTTTAAAGTTCTCAATTTAATCTGTTATTCACTTATTCATTTATTTGCATTAGGTCTGCACAGGTGCAGTTGTTGTTCTTTGTTTTATTCTGTTGTAGTTCAGTTGTTCAAGTGGCCAGATTGCCTTGTATGCTTTGTAAATCCACCATTATTTAGATACCAGCTTGCATCTTACCAGTATGTTTTATTCAGGATTATTTTACTTTAGACTATTTATTTACCTCAATTTGGATCATTACAAGAATTAAAGGCAAGTAAATGATTTGCTTTACTTGAATTTGGTGTCAATTGTAATATATTTTCTTTTAAAATTTCACTAGTTAAAATATTTTATATCAATAATAATAATATAAACATTTATATAGCGCTTATTACACAATGTGTTACAAATAGGATACACAAGGCATCTGCTCACAGCTTTTAATCAGTAAGAATGATTGAAATTTAAGTATGTGTTTTGAGGGCCGACTTACAGTTATTTAAAGTAGGGGCATAACATATTTGAAGCTATCCAATAGCGTGAGTGAGTTCAATGTGTGGATATCATAGACCTAAGGAACACACCTTACATAAGCTGTCAACTTTTTTCTTTTAAAGCAAATTCTTGAATTGCTAAATAAAATGACTCTAATAATTATATAATGAATTAATCAATTTAATTAAGTAATTAATTTAATTAATCATATGGTATAAAAAGAAACAGAGAGATATCAACAGCCCATCCTAGGTTATGAGTTTGGGTTTAGTAGATGGCATAATATAGGCCTAATGCATACATTTATAGTACTTGCAGATGGAAGCAAGACGCTCACCATTCACATAAAAGTTTGCTTGCATAAGGAAGGGAAACTTATTAAAGATGTATAGCACGAATACTAATCTATGTAGTGAGATAAGGCACGTAACAAGTTAAATTCTTAATTTGTTGGGGCAAGACAACACTATATTGCACTCATAAAAACTGCATCCAATAATAAAATGAGACACAGTTAGAACATAAAATGAAAATCTAGAGACATGTGTTGGTAAACATCAGTAGATAATTGAACACCCTGGCTACTCATATATTCCTATCTTTCACATTCCCTAGAGAATTATATTCGAAAAGCTATCTCCTAGCCTAGATATGCTACAAGTAACGTGTTGCAGTAACGTAAGACACGCTAAAAATAAAAATTATAAAATCTCATAATAGTATGGGCGAGTGTATTATTTCCTAATCTAATAAAAAATATACTTATATCCACAATAAAATATTGGATAGTTTACCAAGCTATGAAAATGAGATGTTATTTATACTTCCTCTAAAAATGTGGTATAGCAGTTAAGTACCAACCTTCAATATAAAAAAATTTGTTCAAATCATATGATATATACAGTTACACAATAATACATTTAAAAGTTTACCAAGCTGTGTAAATCAGACGTCACAATTTATTTCTTCTACAAAATTAACAAATCCTCAAATTTTCATTAAATGATATAATTTTAGTCTACTAAAAAAAAAATGATTTACCAGTTTCTAGCTTTGTTCGTAGCAGACCTTGATTTCTCTTTTCTAGTGTTGGCACATGTTCAGCTTTACCACTGAAATCTAGTTCAGCTGGTGGGCCTTCCACGTTTGGCCCGGTGTCCGAACGAGAAAATTGTGATCCGTCTCCACAAGGAGCCGTACTGATGTAGAGGTGAAAGGTAACATCTTCATGAACTCCAAGCTTTCCAGAGGGCTTCCGGCAAAAAATGGATTGTTCTGGATCCTGCTGATATGCTCGTAACTCATTATACAGGAACCTGGAAAAACAAATAAATGACATTATTTATAATTATTTTAAGATTTACTGTTTGTAGTGAAATTAATTTGGTTTGCGCAGTTTTAAATAAAAAATTCAGTTTGGCTCTCTGACCCATTTATATGTCCACCCCTTGTTTAAATGTTTATTTGTCCAAAATGAATATTTTTTACCACTAATTTTAATTATTTTTTTACACGTTTTCATGAGTTGAAAGGGGAATAGTTTATAGGCCTAGGCCCTTCCTGACCGCGGACTAACGTTTCACCCAACCCTCGGGCCATGAGCTTATCTGCTCGAATCGGTTCGGCCTAGCCTGTCCTGGGTCTATCCTCCGCCGGAAAACCTAGGCCCTAGGCATATGCTACAAGCACTAGGGCTAGGCTCAGGCTAGAAATCCATACACGCATTTCAGAAAATAAGGGCGGAATTCCACACAGATTTTGCAAAAATTTTAGCTAGTTTTTGTGGTATCATACAGTATATATATATATATCTGTCTCTTATACACATCTAGATGTGTATAAGAGACAGTATACTCCTTGAGTAAACAAAATCTCTGATACATTCCATACTGCTAAGTCAAGTTCAGCAAGAAGTAGGCTTGTGGTTATATTGTAGGTGACATGATGTCATTTCATGGATTTAACCTTCAGGAAAAAGTCAGTCCTGCGTCTTAACCAATTAAAAGATTTTATTAGGTTGAAGTTATTTCGTATCCATAGGCAACATGCAATGGACAATACGGGTGGGGGAAAAAATGCACAGTGGAACAAAATTTTCATGAGTGATGAAATGAGGGAAATAACTAATTTCACATGGTACGAAATAAACAATCAAATGACTGGGATCTATTTAGGTGTGTTATATAGGTTAATAGTTCTAAATAAATTCAGGCTCAAACTAAATCTTAACTAAACTAGCTAGAAGTGACTCTTTAAAGGAACACAACACTTTATCATCCTCTTGGGAGGTACACACTTCCACAGGTCGGGTATTATTCACAAACATTAACGACATACGTAAACTCAGATCAATATACAATTATTTTTCAGTATGAAAACAGAATTCTAAAATTACTCAAGTCTACCAGATCATCATAACCCGGGACAAATCTCACATGCAAGTCTCAAGTTCCCATTTGATGATTTTACACTGGGATATAAATTGTTAATTCGTAAAATTTAAAATAAAGGTCTAATAGGCAAAATACATATCATTTATTAGCAATAATATCTGGTTTACCTGCTTTTCAATCTACCATTCATCTATCTATAATTTTACCTATTCATCTCTTCATTCACCAATCTATACATTCATTCATCCACTCATTCATTCCACAGATCACTCATTCATGAATTCATCTATAAACTATAGTCATCTACCTATTCACAACTATCCATTCACAAAATCATATACGTATTCATCTAACTGTAGATATTCCCCATTCCATCCATCCATACATTTACTGGTCTATCTCTCTATTCATGCATCCATTTATCCATCAATTTGTAATCAAATCCGATACTATCCATGCATCCATTATCACATCCAACTACCTGTACATCCTTCCTTCAATTATTGTATCAATTTATCTACCTTTAATCTACACATTCATCAATCCATCCATCAATCATTCAATTCACCCATCAATTCATCCATCCATCTACCCACAGTTGTTGTATTTGCCCTTCATTCATGCATTGAAACACACATCCATCCATTCAACCACACACTTATTCATTCCTTCAGTCATTCAGTCATTCATTCATTCATCAATCTATCCATGCACCATTCATCCTTTTCAGTAATCCTTCTATGTACCCATCCTTCTATTCATTCACCCATTCATCAATCTATTCACCCATCTGCAATCCATCCATCCATATCTCATCTACAGGATGTAGACATGTGGTGAGAGATGATGTTTTGAAGTATAATCTGCAGTGATGCATTACACAAGTACTAAGTCTACTCCAGCCATAAATCAAATAGAATTTTAAGAAAGTCTGGACAAGTTTGACGTGAATTAAGGCAACAATTCATTTTAATTGAATCCTAATTTCAACTACTTTTAATAATAATCATAAACTAAAAAATATGCAGGTAAGGTTGTTTAGGTTTGTCTACTAATCTGATTACTTTCTGATCCTTTGTGTGCATGAGCCTCTTTTTGAGAATAATCGTAGAATCGATGTGAATGCACTGTGCACCTGGGGCTGGCTTTAGCAAATTTGCTTAGCAAAAAAAATCAGCTTAAGTTGGATTTATCAATCATACCTAGCAAAAATGTTTACTTAAATTTGTCTTAATTTTAAGATGAGAAAATTCCTTGCTTTGAAGATGAAATGTTTGTCTTAACTCATTGCACTCACGACGGACATACTGGATTACACTCGCGAGCGCATTAGTCCCAAAACACTGTTTTGTAAATGGTAATCGTACATGCCCACAGTCTTGACCAGAAGTGATAACAGGCCAATGTGCAGAAAAGTTAGGTTTAAGATTTAGACATGTGGAGTAAACAGGACTAGATATTGATAATGCAGTGCATTACCTTCAAACTATATAGGTTTTTTTAGACTCTTGGTTGTATTTAATGTTTATCTCATGCATTAAATATGTTTCTTTGCTAGCAAAGTATTATAGAACCGCGACGACATTCTCTAAGTAACTTTTATTCTACCACCTTTTCTGATTAAAGATACTGAATAGGTTCGCCGTGAGCATGATGTAAGACATCGCACATGTACTTTCCAGTAACATACATCGATCAATATTATAATAACTAACAACCTATAAAATTTAATTTAACAAATTTAAACCACAAAAGACATAGGAAAACTAATTGAAATATCTACTCCACTATCTTTTTATTCTAGGTTACATTGAATGCTATAATACATTATCAATATATCAAAATTGTGTCTTAGTATATACTTCAAAATATTTTTTGAGAAATGGAGACATATTCTAATAATAAATCAATGAATAAATTATGTTTCTTTTACTGCTAAATATCTTTTTAAATAACATGGATCAATCAACATCATAAATTGTGCCAAATATTCAACCGGGATATTTTTTAATCATACCCATTAGCTATAATTTCAATTCTGGCAAACAAATTAGGCCTAGTTCTCGAAAATGTTGAATACAATACATTGCCTTCAAAATATATATGGTAGATAAGATGTTGCTTCATCTCACTCAGTTGTACTTGATATTTATTTCATTCATTTTTATAGTTATAATTTCAATTACTGCAACAAAATAGACTTAAGTAGCTGGAGTTATTTTTTCTTTTGAATTTGTTATTAATAATCAGACAAGTAGTATTTAGCATTCTTAGATATTAACTATAAATATTTACTCCAAATTATTTAAACATTTACAGTTAATAAACAACAGAACAGAGATAATGGCATATATTTATTTCAAAAGCTTTTGTCACTATTGCAACTTCAGGTATAATATGAAAAGGCTATGTAATGCATAGAAACCAATCTGAGAATAGATAACACAGAATGTTTACATTTCAATAGGTATCAAAGAATGAATATAGGCTGATGATGACCATGGATATTTCATCGGATATTTTGTTTATTAAAATTATTCTTTCCTAATAATTTCTTAGCTACCTGGGGAGCCATTTTGTTTCAAAACTCTAGTTTAAATTAGTCTATATTTTTTCCACAATAATAAATCAAAACTTATCGATTTCAAAATAAAAGAAAATGAAAATGATAGTCAGAAAAATGTAGGCTGCACAACTGTAATCCAACTTAATTTGTCTTCCTTTCAAATTGACAATCATAATGGTAAAATTAATGATCAAATTGATGAGAATAATGAACATACAATAAAATAGAAACTCATTAAGGCATTTCACGGAGGTGTTTTTAAATTATTTACTCTATTGTCATAAACCAACAGGAAAATTAATGAGAGAAAAATTTACAAAAGAAATTTGCTATCATTAGATAATTTAAACAGAAAATCTGTCCCTTCAGACATTGACCCTTGGGAAATCCATAAATGACCATATAAGAAGGCTGCTGATTGGTGGAGATTCCGAACTTCAAACTGAAGTATCAACTGTAAATGGCAGTTAAATCTTACCTGATGAACGCCCGTCTAGTGATGATCTCTGCATGGGAATCATTGACAGTCAAACCTTCCATACTTAGCATATCGCCCGTCACACATCGATTACCTGCAATAGATATCATCAATTACTCATTATTATATCATGACTAGTTAAAGTTTCTCTTGAAATCGAGAAAGATGTATAACTGTCATTCCTACACAAAAAAAAATTTTCACATAGTGTATATACAATGATAACCTTCTGTTCAGCTGACAACAGAACATACAATAATAATAGAACATATACTGTACAATTCACACCCTGTACATTCAAACACAGAGCCATTTAATTCAAATTAAAAACAGATTCACAATTGCAAGTTCTCATGTTAAGAACAGACTATGTAACTCACTGCACATTCACACTGAGAGCCATGAGCCCCCTCGTGCGCAGACTTTTTTGATAATTTGAGGTCTAAATCGTTTGTGAAAATGTAATATCAGTGGCCGATACATGAATTAAAAAAAGAGGGGTCCAAGGGAGGAAAACTTACAGATGGAGGGGCTAAACCACCTCAGCCCCACCATGGTTGGAGCTAAGGTAAGAAAATTTGTTATTATGACAAAACATTTTTGTAGATCGATCTGTTCCTGACAGAAAGGTTTGTGGAATAATCTTCACTTGATGTTTTTTGGACTAGTGGTACACGCTCTTGTTTGATGAATTAGAGGTGTCTATAGTTGAAAACTACTCTGATATTGGTCCCCGACGGGGAAGCATAGCCCCCCCCCTCTGGCGCCACCACTGATATGCATGCAGGGTGTGATGAATGCATTCCCGGCCTTAAATCAGAATAAGTCTGCATTAATTGTCAGACAGGTGAAACCCATTATTACAACATGAATCATGCCAAAAAACTCATTAGTAAACCAATTCAAAATACAAGATATCAGATCAATTTTATCAGCTAGAATACAGAAGCAATCTGCAAGTTGGTGCAGCTACCTCATGACCAAATTGCCAGAACATTTTGGCCAACCCAGATCAAGGCTAATCCAGGAAAATGTTAATACGTTACAATGTGATTAGTCAATGGCCAAAATTTGACAACATCAAACTCTTTGACAGATGACATAAAGAAAGATATTTTTCATTACACAATTTGAAATTAAGTGATATAATGCCATCATGCTCATGCATGGTCACACTGTATCACAGATTTTAGTCAATGAAAATGACCAATGCCAGATTACAAGACTGAACAATGCTGAATCCGACTTTGCCTTATACCAGAATGCTGATGCCAAATTTGTCAAATGCCGATAAAACAGTCAAATCAAACATTTTTTTTTTTTTTGGTAGTAATGTCTCGGTGCTAACAAGTAGAATCAGTCACATGTTATCTAATAGGAGTTTTATTTCGAGATTTAAAAAATGGTAATTAATTGTCTACAGGCCAACTTTTGTATTGTAAAGCCCTGTTCAGTCTATCAAATTTAATTCGCCAAAAACATGTGACATACCAAAATATGGTCATGATGACATCACATCATGACCATTTATAGGCACATCATGACTATATATGGGCATACAAGAGTTTTTTGTCAAAGAAAATTTGATAGTGTGAACTGAGCTTTTGGTTCAACCCTGTTAAAATATTGTGTAGCATCTTATACTATTATGTCTTTATTTAGTAAACGGAAACTTGACTTTCCTCTTAATTGAAGAAACAGATCATCAACCTAAAAATTATGCTGATACATTATTCTGGTTTTTTTTCCACCATTATTGGGTTACCAGACCATTTAGATTCAAGGTTGTAGGCTAAGTATGCCCGTGATACTTTTAATTTTTAATGATCCACAAGGAATTTAGGCCATCTGCTTATTAGAATGTTCATATCATACTTTTTGTCTTACTAATGCAGGTTATTCATTAACAGTCAACTTAACTCCTCTCATTGAGAACCTTTTGTGCAACTCAGAACTAAATTCTCCCATAAGGATTTTCTTGTACAACTCAACAGCACATTTTCCATTTCAAATATTTGTTTGTAACTCACAACTACATTCTTTACTAAGAACCACCTGCACAACTCAAATCTTTTTTCTTAGCCAAGAAACTTACGTACAACTCAAATGCACATTCTTGCATTGAGAAACTTTTGTGCAACTCGCAAATACATTCTCGCAATGAGAACCATTTCTCCTAATCACAACTACATTCTCACTAAGGATTTTTGTTTTTTGCAACTCAAATGCACATACTCTCATTGAGAGTCTTTTGTGTATTACTCACAACAACATTCCCACACTCAGAACCATCTCTGCCATTCAGAGATACATTCTCACAGGATTTTCTTGTCCAATTCAAATGCACATTGTCACATTGAAAACCTTTTATGTAAACTCACAACTAAATTCTCACAGTGAGAATATCTCGCATGCCAATCACAGATACATTCTCACAGGATATTCTTGTGCAATTCAAATGCACATTGTCACATTGAAAACCTTTTGTGTAACTCGCAACTACTTTCTCACACTGAGAATCATTCATGCAACTCAAAGTTAAATTCTCTGCTAAGAAATGTCTGTACACCTCAAGTTAGCATTGAATTCTCAATTGTGTACACTTTACTGCATATTTAACAGCAGGCATCAAAATATTTCTTCATTAAAGAGAAGAAAAAATGATCCAAAAATGCTGACATTCCAAGACACACATTTCCTTACATTTTTTTTTCATTATGTGAAAATTTAGATGCAGGAACAGATGTACTAGAGCTTTCAAAGAAATGATAAGACTAAAGGGCCACCGAAGTACAATAGACAGTCTAAAGATCATCGGGACAGACAACCCATCATGGAATAATACATTCTGCTTCGTGTGACACACTGCATGAAACTTTAAAACGATCAACAATTGACGTTTAAAACGTCAGGTAGGCAGCATTTGTTTTTAGTCGAATATCCAAAAATATCTTCACCATGCATGTATATCGTAAATGATATAAGTAAATGCATTGGAGGGTGAAATAGTATATCTCTGTAATTCACTTTATCTAGATAAAGTAATCAGTGAACAGACATAACGAAATGCGCTTCAACGCGAGGACAAGTTTAAGTATCGTAATATCTTTCAAATTTTGCCCCGAGGTATGTTCTTCTTTGTGTTTGTCATCTCATTCAATATGTCGAGTTAACTCCGCAATTACTGCATCAAAGCATGCATCGAAGGCAATTCTTTTTGCGCATTCATGTTCCGATAACTAAATCACATATTAGAGGCATACGGAAGTATATGAGTGGGTTTTATGATGTTGGGAAACCATTACTTACATTGAACCTACTACCTTTTGGAATAAAACCAAATTCTCGGATCTATTTTATAGCTTTAATGTAATTTTTTTTGTATGGTCTGTACAGTTTTATTTCAAACTTGTACCGGATTCCAACGACAATAAATGTACTAAATACTAACAGGGATATGTGTTTTAAAATTTCTCAACCTAGATTCACTGCTTTCACACAACTAATTACAAAGTTTTCTCTAATGTGCAATTGACATGCAGATAGTGAAGATACGCTTGACGCCCAAGTGGGAGATAAACTGTGCCCCATTATCTTGTGCACAGATTTGTTAAATGTCTCTATCTGGAGTATCTTGCGGCCTTGTTCCTTTCTGAGATGTAGAGAGATATCTTTGGTATTATAATAAGAATGTGCATTCTCAAAACTGAAATATTCTTGCAGGAAAAAAACATCCTTGGTAAAATTTGTTAATATTTAGTACATTTCTGTTGTGTGAATTAGGAATTAAAGAATGTCAATTGAATTGAATTTCAGAAATGAAAATGGGTCTTGGATTGGTAGCTCTCTTGTTTAACCAAACCATTCAACTGACCTAATCATTAAGAAACCTGAGTGAACTATTCTTAATTAATCCAAGCACTTTGACTACAGCAATCTAGCCCTTAGGTGAATGTAGGACCATAAACCACAAGAGAAAAACCCTTCTTCAACCCCTGAGGTGAACACGGGCAAATATATCATCTAAAGTTGTATTATTTTAATAATTAATAATTATTACAGCCATGGATACAGTATGTCTCTAGGTAACAAACATGTCCAAAGTACAGTACTAGGTTAATAATACCTGACGGGATATATATTCACCTAAGTAAAGTACAGTAGGAGTTGAATTAGTATCGATAATAATAATTCCTATTAAATAATTATTCCATATAACTGATAATCATTGTTTAAAAAATAAAATATAAAGTTGTAATCGTTCCCTTAGATACAGTAACTGTTTGTTTATGTAGCGCCTTTCTTCCCTGGTCATTTGGTCCACATGCTTTAAGTGTTGCTGCTGCAATCAGCGCAGGAGCAAGTAACCCCACGAGGTACCCATTTAGACTCCTAGGTGGAGAGAAGCAATGCAAAACACAAGTGAAATTAAGACTCAGCACGGAATTGAAACCTTGACTGTTCCAGCTGCACTAAGCTGGCTTTATAGTTTCTATTGCAAAATTTGGGGAAACTCACAAATTCAATCAAGATAGTGAATTGCTCAATTCAAAGAATCAAAAAGAGTTATGAACTTAATTATTTATAAGTTTATTAAATTCGATTTGTGACATTATTCAAGGCATTAGAGGATCAAGGCTATTTCTGTATCATTTTTTTAAATAACGTCTTGTTGGGACCATTAAGACCAACACTACACGTAATAATAGGCTTTGCCTACGATGAAGATACGAATTGTTGTGTTGTTTTTGAAAATTATCAATATTAAATTCAATACATGGTAATAAATATATTCATATCACATATTTAACCCACAATCCATTAAAATTGAAGGGCCAAGTCTTACGTTAAAGAACATATACAGAAACTATTTCTTCATTGAAGACTGAAAATACCAACATATTCATTGCGTTTAAAAAAAATGTTAACTTCTTTAAATGTCGACTTTTGAATTATTTTTAACCAAATTAACACTCTCTAATTATAAAATCTATCCACACTGATGTACTTAACCTTAAATTTGCCTTACGTTTATCTGTTTTATTTTAACATGAAGTATCACAACCAATATTAAGCTAATCTCACTAACGCCTCTATTTTGTATGTGTGAAATTTCATTACATTACAAACACTCCAAGACCTTACCTTTCATACAACTTAGAGCAGAAATAAAATACATGAGAAAAACAAGTTTAGACAGAATCTAAGCCAAATATAAATAATTTAAAGAATCTCGAAATGTACTAGATTCCCCACAGGCTCAATGTCACTTTGAGTATTAACATCTCATCGAAAACCATTAAAAATATCCGACAGAGTTCAATATCAATCTCTCATCCACCACTACCAGATAAATAATATAGGGAAAAAAGCCTAAGCAATTAAAATATAACATAACACATGTTTGGATTGATTAGTGTATACAAATTAATAAAATCCCCCAGTGCATGACACAAACACAAGGCAACTGCTATGCATTACGTGCATATCTCACTCATAGGGGTTTCATGTGTCACTTATAATTTCATTTTTATGATATAGTAGCACCTCTCACACATACACACAAAATGGTATAAATTCTGGAATGAAAACATAAAAAAGAAAAAGTGTAATTAGGTCGTTTAACACTTAACAGAAAACCAGGCCTTGAGCTTCACATAAGTTATTCATTTCTTATTTAAACTGGGAAACATGTTTAAAGTTGCTATGATCATATATCGCACTGTATGCAGTTGGTGTATCTAAGTGTCTTGAAATGGAGTTGAGGGGGGGACGCAAAGTAAGTAGGCAGGGCTCGATGGTTAGGTGAAGGGGTGCTATTTGTAGCTCGCAAAATAAGGTGAGCAACTGTATACAGGATAAAAATTGTTTGCGTTTGTAGGGATAAATCCTAATCTTGAAATGGGAATGCAACAAACTTTACCACCAAGACATTGCTTCAGTAAAACATTTACTTAGGTTTAAACATAGAAAAATCCATTTTAAGCCCCCTGGTAGTCTCAACTGCACATGATTATGTCAAAGGTCAAGTATCCTTGATACAACTTACACGATATTTGCATATTTCTAAATTGTTTTTACTCAACAGCTGCTAATCTTTACTTCATGGTAAATAGTAGCTAAATACTGCAACCACTATTGAATAATTTTCAATAAATAAAACTATGAAATTCAGATCAGATCAACATAGGCCTGGCTCTAAAATAGTATGGTTTTTTTTTTAAAGTGACCTGACCTTTGGCATAGATGCACAGTTGAATTTGCGTAATGGCTTATTGTCACCTTTTGACCAGAACTGTTTTGGTGACTCTGCAGGGGGTTTAGATTTACACTTTCGGAACACACAGAAGACAGACCCTGCATGTATAGCCATAAAGTAATACATTATGATGTATTTGAAGCATTTTTACAACACACTAACCTGTTCCTAAACTAACGACCACGCCGTCATCATCGTCGCCCCGACGCATTATGAAGGATGCAATTACAGATCGACCTCCAATGCTTTCTCGGATGTCTGCTGCTAGGTCACTATATTTTTGATGAGCCAATCCAGCTATCTTGTCAAAGAAAGTTGAGTTTGGCCCAACTGGCTAGAAGAGACATAAGTAACAAAAATATTAATTATTATTTGTTTAATGCAAAATGATGTTTGGAAGAATCAATCTAGCAGTGATAGTGCAATACATTGTCAACAATAACCTTTATGTTTCTAATTTACTGTATTTCATTCTTATAAAGTAGTTTGCTAATTACAATATTATACTCCAGTCTATTGACAAGAGGACCTGGATTCCTGGAATACGAACATACAGTACCATACTACAACCCTGTAAATCAGGGTTTGCAATTTAATATTGAGGATTTATTGTGTACTAGTTTTATTAATTTTTTTATTATTCCTTCATAGAATTTGTGTAAAATATCCTATGAGTTACATGGTATAGAATAGGGGCGGATCCAGAGACTGTCTCTTATACACAGGGGGGGGGGAGACTAAAAGTGAGCCGATCGAGATAACACAACCCCAGGGGGTACGAGGGCATTCCCCTGCGAAATGTTTGTTTTCTAGAAGCTCGAAAATAAATTCTGAGGCAATTATTTTTTTCTTTTTCCTCTTTCTTCTTTTTTTGACTTTCCAAAAAGGGGGAGGCCGGGGGCCCCCGGGGGCCCGGGGGCCCGGGGAGGGGAGGGGCCGGGCCCCCTAAATCTGCTTTGGTAGGATAACAGACAGAATTTCAACATTCCCTACTTTACCATCTACTTATTGTTACAAATTTCATTGTTCACTTGTGTGATTGCTCAGGTTTCTTGATTTTTGATTATATAGATTGGTAGTGTAACCACTGGGGTCCAAGATTTTTAGGGGCCTTGAAATATTAATCAGCATTTTTTGGCAGAAACTAAGCCTTCATAAGGTCCCTTAGTGTGCAAACATGTAAAAATAACTCAAAAATATGCCTTTAAAAGGTTAAGAACGTAGAGTGGACAAGGATTTACCCTCTACTACACGGCAGTGGGCATACCACTAAATATAGGTGCTATGAATAAATTTTAAATACAGTTATTCTACCATACATTATATATTATTGTGTATTGTAAAATGTAATTTTATTTTTTAAAAGCGATCAGCAGAATGCTTTGATAAGGAAGTTATTACAAGACACGATACTGCAACATTCAATCAAATGCATTCTAGCAACAGTGATATTATTGGATTGCATTGTTCATTCGTCATCGACAAATAAACATGCAATTAGGTGGTGTAATTCTCCAACAAAAAGTCTAGAATATTGAAATACATTACTTATTGTGAAGTCTGAGGTCTATGCTCATTGCTTTCATATAGAGAATTACATTCACCACACAACAATACATTACTATAGATACAATATTATAATCTTTTAGAATAACTTATGTTACATCTACAGCATGCTTTTAGGGCCCATATTAAATATTTTGTATTGCAAGACTGACTCAACTCTGCAAGATCACCATTTTATTTAGGTTTTGCTAATTGTATATTATATTTTGTAGTTCATGTTATTACTCTGTATTTTGTGCAAATGAATATTGATAGATTGATTAACATACTGTATACTCAAAAATGATGATGACTTTTAAAACAGAGAATGTTTTAATCTGGTAATGTGTACATAAACAATACTAATATGTAGGGGGTAATAATAAAAACATATTACAGTAGAACCCCTCCTTTGGGACACCCCTATTAAGGGGACACATTTTTTAGCTGGGAAGTGAGGGAAATGTATCTTTTCAACACTACGGCCAACCCCTATTCGATGGACAGTACACCCCTATAATAGGGGACAACTTTTTTGGTCCCGAAGGTGTCCCTCAATAGGGGTTCTACTGCACTTTAATGACAAATTGTCAGGTGTTGAGCTAAATTTCTTGGAAATATAAAGTACTTGAATATCTTACTTTGTATAGTTAATTATATACTTTCAATTAAAATAAAAGCTCTGTGTACACTATTAAATTGTGTGGCAAATTGATATGATGTGCATGATAATGTCATATTACATCCAAATATGGGCAATGCCTGCATATCACATTTATTTGTCACATAAAATTTGATGTGTAGACAGAGCTTTAAAACGAGAATATATTTTTCAAATATATATAAACAAATACATAATAACTCTGTTCCTGTATTCAATGTATAGACCATTAACACTGCTCCTTTATTGCTTGCAAAAACCTTTAAATTTGCTAGTGATAAATTTGTCTGAATAAGAATTGATACATTTTTTATACTTTAAAAGGGGCAATTTTTGTGCTATCGCAAGTATTACAAGCAGAGTCCTCAATGGTAGACCAGAGCGGATATAAATAAATAGAAAGCGAGGTTCAACAGTAGCTTTGATTAGACATTTTATTACTACTTAGTTTCGTACCACACACATGGTGTGACACTCTTTAGATAAAACTGCCTAGGTTAGTTTTACATATATAACTTGACACTTTCAACCAACACTAAAATTCCTAGGAAAGGTAAATTTGTATTAACTTCTTATGAATTTGAGAATCATAAAATTTATTAGAAGCCAAGACTAAGGTTATACATAGCTGTTGCTATTTCAACTGAGATCGTTTCTCCTACGAAATGAAAATTATGTTTTTATGAATGTATTTTGTTATATTGCACAGCATCAGTGTTTTGGCGAATGACAGTTGGCCTCTTCAGAGAGACCTATCTGATATTAAAGGCCCCTCGGGTAAAATTTGATGAAGTAATGAAAAATGGCTTTTGATAAGATGAAACCAGCTAAACATAAAACATAATTTTTAAATTATAACTTTAATTGTAGAGAATTAATGGAATTTTAATGAGAAGTCTATGGCATGCATATTTCAAAATTTTATATTCACTGACGATAATTCTATTATAATTTTTGTTTTGTAGAATTGAGATGCCAACAACATTAAAGCATTATCACTGTCAGACAGATGTATTATTACAGTTTTAAACTTGAAAAAAATTTTTCTCCATTCAAGTCCTTTGTTAATGTGTTCTAATGAACAATATAACTTTTATAGCGTTAAAATCATAAATTTTAAATTTTTAGGTAAACGTAAGATTTAAAAAATCTTATTGCCTAATAAAATTAGAAAATTCTTTAGCAACAATACAGACTAATATAATATAAAACAATTATCAGAGTCATATTTTACAGCCAAATTAAAAACATGCTACTATACTCAGACAATTAATGTATATATTAATATTATTAATCAGTAGTTAGGGAACTAACTGGTGAATTATAACATTTTATTAATTTTAACCAAAATGTATTTTATGGTTTCAAATTTAGAATCTATATAAAAAATAATATACCATTCATAATTTGAAACAAGGGAATAATTTTGATTTCACTGTCTGTAATATCAAGTAGAACCATCAAGCTGAAATAATAAAATTAAACTGTGTCTGGCAACAAACCTTGTTTAATTACACTCAAACTTGCCCTTCCAACTCACGGCTAATAATGTGGATTTTCCAAATTCATTTACTTTACACAGAGAAATCTTGGTTTGTTTAATTTAAAAACAAGTATTTCTTTGATGCCGAGTGAGTCATTGTCCCTCGAGTCTAACTAACATTTGTTTATATTCATAAACTCAATTTCATGATCTTACAAAAAAATCATTCTACATTATGGCAAATTCATGCGTTGGCAATTAACCTTCTAACCATGCCATAGACTGTGTGTGTTTGTCCGGGACCTTCCATAAAATAGATGAAGTCCCAACTATAGATGTGTCAAATACAATGACAGCTGTTTGCAAAATTTGATTGACAATGTGTGAATTTTTAAGTATTTTCTTTGATTTGAAAATTACATGTTTAAAAATTTAAAGATTCATGAATAACGTTGTTAATGCTCGTGAACAGCAATAAATGACAAATCGTTGTGATCTTCCTGAAATATAGGCCTACAAATTTGTACGAGTCATAATGAGTGACAAAATGTAAATGTCCGACAACTTCACTATAAACTCATCTTTTCCCAGATGTGTTCAATTTTTCTAAGCAAAGTAATTTCAGTAGGCTTTCTGCAGGGTAATAGGTGAAAACATTTTTTCCCATTTTAAAAAGAAATGTGATCATTCAAAGGTGTAATTTTTATCTGAAATTATATTCAACAGAGGAGTCAAGTAGAGGTGAGGAGTAGGGATTAGGTCAAAGGTTGAGGAATACAATTGTGATGAGATGCATACAATAGTGGAAAGAGGGATACAGTTTGGAAATACACTACTAGGGTAAAGCATAGTTAGTGTAAATACCAAAATTAAATCATTGAATTTTTAGGAATGTTTTCTTATAATTGCACATTTTATTGATGTAATACAATCATATTTTTCATGCACTTTTTGAATAAATAAAATGAAACAAAAAATAGTGGGATTTCTAAAATAATATATTCCATTTAGTTTAACCCCAAACCCCACACCCCTCTACCATAAATTGCAGCAACCTACTTACCTGTAGAACAGGGGGTCCATTTCGTTTTGGCTTATACATGCCCTCTTTCATCAGAATACGTAATGCATAATCAGCCGCTTCACGTCGCGCCTCCTTCTTGTTCTTTTGTTCAGCGGGAGGAAAAAGACGCCCTCCCAATTTAACACGATACGTGAATCTGTAAAAGCGAAGACGGATATATTTAGTTTCCAATTTGTTTTTGTCCAAACATAAGCAAAAAACTGTTTTTAATTAAAAAGTTTTTTTCAAGGCAGTTAAGGCACAGTGGTTAAGATGCTTCCCTTCCAATTACAAGATCCTGAGTTCAATCCAAGGTTCTATGAGAATCAATTTTTGCTTGAATGATATTGTGAATGACCATCATGATAAACTATTAGTTATTTGAGAATTTATCAAATTAAGTCTGACATTTCCAGTTTCTTATTACAATTCATTTCTTCAGTTGGTTAATATTTTTGAGGCAGAATTATCTCATTTTGACAGTCCATCATATTGGCTATTAACTCTTGCTTAATTCTAGAGATAGACAAAATTATCCATCTTTCAATCTAAAGTTGAAAGAGTCGGAGAGAATTTTGTAAATGCTACGATTTCTGCTTGAAAATGACAAACCACATGGGAACAGGTGATTTGTAGCAATACATTTTGCATAGTTTTTAGTGAAATTTATCTAAAACTGAGACCAATTTTCGAACAACATGAGTTGTGTCATCCTAATTTGTTTAATTATCTAAAAAAATGTAAAATAAAAAGGAGTTACTTTCTTTTTGCAAAGCTTAATCTTTTGTATGGTAGAAAATTATATTGACCATGATAAAACTATTAATATAATTTGAGAATACTGTAAATCCCCTTAAAATAATGGAATGATCCATCCCATGTAGAAGATGTGTTCCCTATCAGTGCCATAATTCTCTATGCCTTTCGATTTCTCAATTAAGTTTCACAATATGTTATTGACTATTTATGAGAATCTTATTTTTAAGTATTAATTATTTAAAAAATTCTGATCACTCAGGTAGAAATTGTGAATAAAAAATTCAAAAGAATTACATCCCGTCCATCAATAATTCTATAAGTTTTTTTTTTATTCATGAGGCTCATCAACCATCACTCTCCTCATCTCCTGTGTATCGCTTATCACCCTTTCATAATTCAAGGGATTTTGAAAATGGAAGATTATTCCCAAAAAATTGAAATTACCGGTAGTTTCTACTGTAAATGCTGCTACTGTTATCAAATCATTCCGTACTGGGCTACTTAGATGCTACAACAGCTTGCAATGACTGTGATGGTAATCGGTAGTTGTGCCAGAGATTGAGGACCAACATCCCGATGCGACACCCACCTCCCACCATTTTGCAGTAAAGTTAAAGAATGGGACATCTCTAGATACTTGAAAATGGCACTCTTCAGCTCGGTTTCCATAGAATCGCTCACCCTATCGGCGACAGTCGGCGGGAAGGTTGAACCTGGTTTAGCTTTGCCGATTGCGTTGCAGATGAATAAGGGTGCATTGCTAGCTGCCTCGACGCAATCGAGAAGGCACCCCGATTCATCTGCAACGCAATCGGCACAGTTGAACCAGGTTCAACCTTCCCGATGACTGTCGGTGACTGTCGCCGATAGGGTGAGTGATTCTATGGAAACCAAGCTTAAAATTGTAAAATTGCTTTTTTAATGCACTGTTCCCTGAAATATGCTTCCTCCCTGATAGGGATCCAGGGTTAGCCAACTGGGGTCCTACACTACTAGTGTTAATGCTACTGATGTTACAGTTTATTGGTGCTAAGGTACTTCATGAGTAAGCCGAATGCTAATGCCACTAACCCCGGTATTCTTAAAACGAACTTTAGTCGTAGTTCGAGCTAAAACTTTAAAATTACGTCATTTCGTATTCTTAAAACGAACTTCGACTAGCACTACGACTAAATGACGTGAACCTCGACATTGGTTAGTTTGATAGTCGTGGCTTGCCAGTCGTCTTCAGTTGAACTAAAACTAGGACTTGATTTAGTCGCAGTTAAAACTTCGACTACATTGTTTGTGAATACAAATTGAAGTTAAAGATACAACTAGCACTAAATGAAGTTCTAGTTCGAAGTTCGACTAAAGTTTGTTTTAAGAATACGGGCGTAAGTGGTACTAAATTAAATGATACAGACGATGATACTTATGCCACAACCATTGGTGGTACTGTATTGGACATTATATGTTCCTTCCATGTGGCTCTCTGTAACACAACTTTGTGACAAAATGGACTACAGTCTCAAACTCTCTATCAAAACATAAATCAAATTTTTAAGTGCTTATAAATAAAACGTTAAACAAATTATCTCTCTGAGCCTATATTTTTTGAGTAAGTTTTTTTTGTTCACTATTGTAAAGAAATTTTGCAGGAGAACCACATTTATTAAACAAGCTTTGCTTCTAGTGTTTCACTTGCCACTCTTTTACATTTGATTTTTATGCTATTCATAATACAGCTATTGCTACAGTATGCTACAGCTAATGCTATTGCAGCTAATGCTATTGGTGCCAAAACAAAAATATTGATGCTACAGAAGAAATTTGAATCAAGTGGTAATACACTAAACTTAATTAACTGTTGCACAATAACTACTACTACTACTTGGAATTAACTGCTCATTCTGTATATAAATAGATAACTTCCCCTGTACCAAATGAGGTTTTGTGCTTAGGGAATGGAGCATTACACTTCAACATGATACATTACGAATAATGAAGAAGGCGCTGGAGGCAGGTAAAGGCAATAATACTTGATAATGAGGTAAGTCCTGTATTGCATGTATTACAATCTTCAATGTTATCTTGCTGAGTAGAGATACATATGACGTACATTGAGTAATATCAGCTCAATATAAGTTCATCAACATGGATCATTAATATTATCTTATTTTATTGACAGTAGAGAAACATTATATCTTTCAAATATAGTTTGCAAGTCAATATCATAACCATTACAATCTTGATCTTCAACATTACCAAACTTGTAAGATGAACAATGATGTTAATTATCACCAACACCATTTTGATCATCACAATTATCATTATCACCATTATAATTATCATCATCCACAAACCTACCACCATTATCATCATCACCCTCACCACCATCATCGTCAATTGACAGCTGATGTTACCCCAAAGTGACAAAAGTTACTGAGAAAAGTCATTGACTCCAACAGGTAACATTTTTCTAATTTAATCATCACCATCATCATCAATACCCTTATTCTCATCACCATCTTTATCATATCATCAACATCCATATCTTTATCATTATCATTATCATCAAATTCAATTTGAAACATTTTTCAATAACTACTCATATAAAGAGATGCATATCAGCAAGGTATATTTCATCAAGTTCATCATGTATTTAAAAACGTGGTTGTATTGAATGCAGAGGAGCCTTACCTAGGATTGTGTGATGGCCCGCATTCCTTGACGAGCGCAATCTCATGGGGAAGCTGACGAGATTGCGCATACTCTGTCAAAGCACTGATTGGGTTCTTTTGAGTGTAGTCAAAACGTTCTTTGTCAATCTCCATGGATATTTCACCAACCTCCATCGGCATTGAAAGATCCTCACTTAGGAGACCAGAAGTGCTCATATGGTGTCCTCCCATAATACTCTTGGTCTCCGATGAAGCCTTTCCTTCCGGTGTGATCTGCCACGTTGGCGGACTTTCGCTGACTTTTCGTGCCAGGCCTTTCTTCTGTAACCCGTACACTGTAGGGTTGATTTCCCGACAGACTGTCAACCCAACTGCTCGAACCAAATCAGATGTCGATATGGTATCAACTGTGCTTAGTGTCTCCAAAATTTTTTGTTCCATATTTTCTTCCTGAGAATCCATAGACTCCTGGATCAACTGGTTACTGCTTCTAGCAATTATATTATTGTTACTGTGGCTGTGTAGCGCACTACTTGAAGTAGCAACTGATACTGTTATGGGACCAGGTCTTTGACTGAACCCATTATTAAAATTGAGCGGACCGTTCCGTAACGTGGGCGGTAGATCTCCAATGGGAACACTTCCCTCGTCAGTAACCTGCTTCCGTCCAGAGGGTGTGATTACCCACAACGGCGGAGAATCCTTCACCTTTTTAACTAGTCCATGCCGTTGCATGTTGAATAGAGTCGGGTTGATCTCCTTTTTTCTCTGCAGTCCGACAGCTTTGGCCAGTTCGTTGGCATGTATAGCGTCAGTCTGTGCTGCTAGCGAGTGCAAGAGCCTCCAGCTCAGTTGATCATTAACTTGCATAGTAACCGTTGCAGGAGTTGGAGAAGTACAATTCTCCTCTTCATTTTCATGGCTGGACACCTCACTATCCACTCTGTCAGAACCGGACGAACTTCGTCTAACATGCACATCTTCTGTTGTGTTTGTTGTAGCACCATAACCAACTGAACTTTGACCCGGTCTGTTTTCTTTAACTCCATCTTGTTTCACATCCCATTTTGGAGGAGATTCTGAAACTTTTTGAATTTGTCCGCGTTGACGCATCTTGTATAACATTTGATTAGCTTCCTTCTTGGTTTGAAAACCAAGAACTTTGATGATTTCTCGTGTCTCCATCGGCCCATTGTTCTGCTGCAAGACATCAAGTACTTGGTCCATACTACGACCACTCATTGCTGGTACATGAATCAGCAAAGAACCCTGTAACATAAAGAAAATAAAATAAATTTGTAGCAATATCAATAGAAAAAGTACAGTATGTATTAAAATATTAAACAGTCTAGCAGCAGTAGCCTAGCTCAGCAGCAATAGAAGAGGTAGCAATAGCAGTAGTAACAACAGAAGCAGTAGCAAGAGCAGCAGTAGTAGTAACAGCAGTAGTAGCAATGCAGTCCCGTAACAACATAAGCAGCAGCAACAGCAGTAGTAGCAACAACAAAAGTAGTAGCAATGCAGTCCAGTAGCAAGAACAGCAATAGCAATAGCAGTAGTAGCAACAGCAGTAGTAGCAACAGAAGTAGTAGCAATGCAGTTCAGTAACAACATAAGCAGCAGCAACAGCAGTAGTAGCAACAGAAGCAGCAGTATGTTAGCTCAGTCAGTAACACTGATGGTAGATAACTGTGTGTGCACTGAACTATGGAGATCTTTTTAGATCCTGTAGTTCAACTTAATTGCAGCTCTCTTTGTGCTAAATTGTTTTTAAATAATTAAATATTAAATTATATAATTTACTTGGCCTATTGCTTATTCAATATAGAATAGTATGAAACAAAAAATAATGATCTGTGCTACAGCGTTTTTAAATAACTAAATATTGAATTATATAGTTTACTTGGTCTATTGCATATTCAATATATAATAGTATGAAACAAAAAATAATTATCTGTCATAATGTTAAATGTTTCTCTAAATTAATGCTACCAGGAACCAGGATGATACTGAAGTGATGTTGGACTGATGGCATTATGAATTGGACAATGAACAATGGAAACTGATAAATAATAGTGGTCCAGGATAAACAATTTAAAGAATATTTTGTCATGATGTTACATATGCCTCCAGTGGCAGAGAAAACATTAGACAACAATGAAACAAACTCTATTAAAAAAAGCAATGGAAGTTTTTTTTTTTATACTTGTTTACTGTCAAACTTATTGCTAGATTCTATGGTTTAATATATTCTTTAGATTAGACCACGACTTACTGTCAACAGAAAGACATTAATGCTGAAGTCATACACACATTCAATAAAATAAAATGAAACATAGGTAATGGGTTCATAACCTTTCTAATAAGATGGGAACTGACAAATTTACAATTATCAATAAGGAATAAACTTCACAGATATGCACCATTGCAGCAAACATTATGTGAAAGGATAAAATACAACTGTCAGTTTGCTGAATAATTTATCCATCTCCGCATGTCTGGACTCAAGTTAATGGTTCACATACATAATGAGTTGATGGTGCATTCATCATGCATGGGCTTATCTAACGCTAGGATTATTCATGCTCCTACTGTAGGTTGATCATGGCAGAGTTTTAACCAGGGGCATTTACAGTACAACATTCAAGCATTTACTTTTTTCAAAGTATTTTAGTATACAGTAGGTAGGTAATGCAAGTACCGGTACTTACAGTATGTTTACATTACAAAACTGAGGCCTAACATAGCCAAGCGCCAGAATGGTGAAATGGTTGCCAGATCCCTTGGGAAATTTCATTTAACACGTTCTTAAATCCTATTAAATAAATGTATTCAGATTAATCCTTAGATCATCATTAGCATCGGTTTTCTGTAAGATGGCTGTTTCATGGCTGTTTCTAAAGCCCTATCCAAGCTATCAACTTTTATTTGATGAAAAAAACTGTTGTATGCCCATATATAGTCATGATATACCTATATATGGTCATGATGTGATGTCATCATGACCATATTTAGGCATGTCACATGTATAACAATCTTGATAGGGCTCAAACACAAATGTTCTCAAAATTCAGATCATAGACATGAGCTACAGATTTCAAGGCTTATTATATGCTCCTAGTCTTTGCGGTTGGCTGATCTTGGATATATAACCCGGCCTTTTTTTATCCACTATATAAATTTAAATTGCTTTTCAGTGAAGGGCTTGCTTTTAATTACTAAACTAATGGATACTGAAATATCCCATTAACAGGTTGCTTGTATAGTCTAAAACTAATTGTGATTGAATTGAGAAACTTAACAACTTACAACAATTGACAGCAATATTCATTAACTACTTCCATTAACGAAGACGGTTATATTAATTAGTTAGTCATAAGCATCAGTCATCTTCTGTAGGTTTGAACCTTCGTTGTGCATTTCGCTTGTGACCTTAGGAAACACATTTGTTTACGTTTGCCTCTCCACCCAGGAATATAAGTGGGTACTAATACTAGGCAGGTTCGAACAAGATGTGCTAATTACTGCTACAATATTATCATGTTTTCTAGTTGTTTTTTCTAATGATCAAGTTAGTATGTATTACATGTATTTTTAGCCATCCTTCATCATGAGTACAAGGCTGTCATTGACTGATCATATTATATTATCAATGTTTGACAAAATAAAACAGTTATTATACATTTATAGAATTTTAGAATCATAATATTGTCATATTCCTTATTAAAAGTTATTTTTATTACAAACTGGGAAGAAGAAAAGCAAATTAAAATATAGTAAATATAGATATGAGAGATATGTCTTATATGTATATATGCTTGGATTCACATGGAAGAGAATAGACCATAAATGATGAAATTATATCTCAATAAATCAGTTTGTCATGGCAACAGGATATCAGAAAGTATGATTTGTGATGTCAAAATTATTGCTACTATATAATATAATTCTATACCTGCTCATGAAATTGAAAATTGATTTGAGGTTGGCATGATATAAAAAATTTGAATCTGAGAGGCCACGCAGTGACTATCAGAAAAAGTTATTCATTAAAAAAAAAATTCAACCTCAACTTGCTGTCTCAGCATGTATGCATGTAACCTCAATGGACCATCTCATTAGCACATGTGTATTCTTATCACATCAACCCTGCTTCATTATTCATTAAGCCACAATCTGCAAAAACCTAAATCGTGTCTGCATCAAGTCTGCATTTAGTACTTGTGAGATGTGCTGTGGTTATCCAAAAAAACTTCCGGTCTACTCATGCAATTTTGATCAAATTCACAAAATCTGCTTGAAACTTAATGATATGCATAGTGAGACAAATAAATTTAATTTGGATCTAGAGAATACAATTTCAAATCCTACAGGTATAATAAGATAAATTAATTGGTTACAAAAAAAAAAATCTATTAGATTTTTCATATTTCGACAATGCATTTCCCTTGGTATTTTAATTCATATTTGTATTCAATTGTGTAGTGTCAGGATTGAAATAGCTAGAATATTGAAACATTGCAATTCATTTTCTATTTGATATGTACAAAAATTTCTTTTATTCATGAAGATTTTGGTCTTTTCTACTCCGCAAGTTTTATAATTGCTTCAACCTTTTATCCAATTTTTTAAAAAAACAAACTGATTAAAATAAAATTTTAATTAAAAATTTCACATTGATGATTACCTACTCCCAAAGTTTTCACTGAGAGGTGCTGAAATATATGCATTAAGTTGTTTTTATAATATCAAAAATACATTTAAACAGATTTTCTAATAGCATGGTGGTAGTTAGTCACACATTTCTCATAATCAATTAATTGATAATCCATTAATACGGTATTTATGACACCATTAGTAAAAGTCTATACTGCAGCCATAGGAAATATATATATATATGTAGAAACATGATATTTTATTCCTTTAAAAGTAAATTTATCATTATCATCATCATCATCATACTTTAAAGATACATCTGGTATTCTTATTCTTTCTTTCTCCTTTATCCTTTTACAGATAAATTATTATCATCTGGGATACATGTTTGGCATGATGAGTTTTGGCTCAGACAATAGAGGGCAGTGTTCAGAACTGACTTTATTTTAGACAAAAGTGGGTGAGAGTTTTGTAGAGAATGTTTTAGATTCAGTATGTGGCTTATAAATTACAAAAACTATGCAAATTAAATCTGGATATAGACCTAGACATGTTTGAAATGCAGTGGATTTTAGAAAAATATTATCAATGCAAAGAATTTGTATAAAATAAAACCAATGATAAAATTAGAATAATGTTGCAGTAGCAATTCAACAACTTTCTAAAAATGTTAAGATATAAGCCGACACTGACTAGATTAGGTGAAAACCTAACGTTCTTCAATGCCAGAAAAAAATTATTAGATACACTTTAGCGTTCAGATACTATTTGCAAGTTCAAAGAGATAACTTCAATTATGCTATCTTATCTTGCCTCCGGTATCAAGTTTTTTTTTTTTCAAATCGATTTTGTCCATTTTTTTGCACATCTGAAAAAATGTAGGCCGGTTGGAACATCAGTTTCTGTAGCGACCTCAGCGCTGTGCATTTCAAAGATTTCTTGAAAGTATATTTTGCAAATTTGGACTTATTAATTCGGCCGCATGTTGCAGCTCTCCGTTCCAAACACCACCATGAGGCACATCAATCCGCTGTCGATCACTGATCACTTTTATAACCTATCAGTCTGTGTGGACTTAACGCTTAACTGATGAGCTGTCATCAAGAGATTACTTTCTGCAAATCTTAAAGGAGAAGTCGAGATTGTTTTTTGTAACACCTTATTTCAGACAACTGAAATATAGATAAAAACCTTATCAAGACTTTCCAACACAAATCTAATATAGTAGAGTAGCTCGTTCAGTAGGCGGCCTCCTCATGTTGACTTCCACCACCCATCCGTATACTGTTTGTACTCGTACTCTCCCAGTTCCAATGATCTCTCACTTTCACTCTTTTATCATAAGCCTTGTATCTCTGGAATTCTCTCCCATCTTGTTTCCCTTCCTCCTATAATCTACAAGACTTTTACATATCTCATCAACAAGATCCCTCTAACATTTCTTGCCTAATTGTTCCCTTTGCCCTGCATCCTTTAATAAAAAAGAGCATATAAAATAAACTGTTCATAATAAATCATACAGGCTGATTGCCTGAGTTGAGTAACTCCAAATGTACCAGTACCAGCTTACTCAACAACCCATAAAATGACAGAGGTCCAACTGAAGAAAATATATCACGGGCACTACAAACAAGTTAGAAAATCATGGATAATTTCTATATCTGTAATTTTAATTTAAAAAAATTGGGAAAATTGGTAAAAAACTTATTTTTTACCTAATTACTGTTTTGATAGAGAAATAGTAATGTAGAATTTATGTATGAAGTAACTATCAATCAATCTAATTAATTATTTCTACTATTTCTGTATTTTCTACTACTGTATGTACAGTCTACATAATCATAGTTAACCCTTTAACTTAGAATTTTTCGGTCTACTGTAGCGAGTAATAAAACTCTGACCATAAATCAGCAAACATACATATCCTCTTGGCTCAATTTGTATCTTATTTCAATCCTGTACTTCTGTTTCATCAAAATTAAGTTTAATATAAATTGAAGAAAATACAAGAAGGAAATAGCGTGGAGATATCTCGATGGAAATAACGATCAAACAATTAAATCGAACTCATAAATGTACATCAGTGTAGGGAATTATCTTCTTCTGAAGAATGGAATTGCGCAAACAATTTCATACGTGAATATATTGCCGAAAGTACCCAGGCTCGCACACATCGCTATTGTCGGGAAAAACCAATTCTGCAGAACTATCTAATTCCCAATTATTAAGCTAACCAATTACAATAACTAAGTGGAAGAAAACTGTCCTGCAGCACATTGGCTATCATAGTCTATTTGCTCTCCTCTATGCATGCACCCTTCTAAATACACATGTACAGTTAATGACGGGAAGGAAAAAAACATTACCAAAAAACTAGAACAGCAATAACCGAAATTGAACACTGGCTAAATCTGTTTGGTTTGATCAGATTGACCGCCTCTGATATGCCAGGTCATTGCAAATGCTGATGATGCTGGCTTGATGTTAGCCCTCAGCACTTACTGCAAGATCAATACAGCAAGAAATTTGCAATTCCTGATCATATCAAGAAAGCTATCATTACTGTTTTTGATCAATCACCACCGAACACTTTTCTTGAGGGCAGTAGAAGGGCAAAACACGTTTGGTGTAATCATCTTCTAGCTGGAGACTTTTGGGACTTGCGCAGGTCGCATTCCAGAGGCTTTCTTACGTAAACATCAGCAAGCATTGACCTACCGGTGAGCACTAGTCAACCAGTACGTAACATATTACACAACCTGACACTCAATACCATTCAATCTTAACTAGGATTCAACAATAATTTTCTCGAGGACCATGATAGGATATAATCCTTCTCATATATCTGTTACTATATATATAACATAATATATAGTTATTATACAGATATAATTTTATGATCCTGCATAGTCATTATTTGAAGTATTTTATTAGCTGGATGATATACTGGGATATCTGTTTTTTCATTT